AATGTTAAAATACATGTACTTCAATTGACGGAAAAGAATTACAGTTATGGAATATTTTACCGGCATACTGATTTGGAAATCCTACCTCACTGGTGTTGTGGAAACCAGCGTCATGCATGTCATTCAGTTGGAGCCCTCCTTGAGCAACTTGCTTTCAAAAAAATTGGCATTGGTGAAAAACTTATGGTTTGGGGGGGGAGTGCCTTGGAAAGTTTTTGAATATGATTGTTTGCCACCACTTCGTCCAGACTCTTCAGATATGTTCAGAAATCCCTCTCCTGACTTATCAACACTTTTTGCATCTTTACCATGGATCTCCTTGGAATGTGGAAATTATTTGATTTGATGACACCCAAGTGTTTCAAGAACCTTAATGTTTCTGATGGAATGCTGGAAAGCCTGACCCATTGCGCCCCCCCCCAAAAAGTTTTGCCAGTGGATCCCCAAATTTTAGCCTGAGTCTACAAGCTTCGGTTGTAGTTTAGCTTTTGCTCCTCCAAGCCTGCTTGCTATCAAGTCATGCAACCTCTCGTTACGCGCTAGAAAGCCACCACCGCACAAGCCACACCCCAGGTTTCTAAACACAATATTGATCCTGTGGTAATTGCAATCATGTGTATATCACGGGCCATTAAGATACTGCTTACAGCCTGATAAAAACCAGAGCGCAATACAACAGAGGCTCGTCATTTACTTTCATAATTTACATCTACTAAGCATCTTCCTGTTGTGTGCAAGTGGAGTACGCTTGAAGATGGATTGTACGAGCTTTTATAGATAGCTGCGATACAGTACCCACATCAGGGACTAGAACTGTCACATTCATTACTGGCTGCCATGCCTAGTGAATGAACAACCATGCCAGACTGTAATTATTGCTGTTGCCAGGGTAACCTGGATGCTGAATAACCTGGGAATCCATTAGAGCCAGGAATGACACCGTTGAATGGCAGAGAGCCTTCAAAATTGCTGATGTGTGGTGTAAATCTGCATGTCATTAGGAAGTTACAGGGACTGTGCTGATTGGCAGTTCTGCAAGCGTTGCTCAAAAGAACCTCAGAGGAAAAAAGTGCCCACAGTGCCATGTTTTACAGTATCGCATAATTACACCAACAGTATTTTTGTTTGAAGGAGAAAAAGTAGGTTTGACACGTGGGATTTCGTTTGGAACACTTGCTGCTTCTATTGGTGAGGCACCCCCAATCTGTGACCTTGCCCATTGATTGAACTTTGCGAAGGAGCTGTTGATTTCTACACCATCCTCATCATCCACCTTTCCAGACTACATGCATGTACATGTACCTGCTCAGCCGACCCCCGTCAAGATCACTACTTCCCCTTCTGCAACTCGGCCAATATGAGACCGACTTCGCCCCGCCTACGGTACATGAAAGGAGACTACACCGTTACATCCAGTGAGCCTTTCATCACTGGAGAAATTTGCCTCTCATTTCTTGCCGAGTGTTATGTAGTCATCACTTCCGACTCGGGAGTTGCTTTTCCGGCCATGAGTGGCCCTTTATAGAACTTTTCGTGCAGAGACATTCATTTGGAATCTTGATCAGCATCGGCAGCATATTAAGACAAGCACTTCATTGATGCATGATTGGTTGCTGTGGCAACCAGGCAATAGGTTTGGGGTAGGGGGAGCCTCCCCTCCCCCATGCCACTCCAGTGGAAACCCCATGGAGTAGTGAAATCAACAGGTAAGACCATTGGGGCATTTTCAGCCTATTTTGTGTCGCCATTAGTTGCCGCCGTAGTCAGGAGAGATTTTTGCCGTCATAATATTTGTTGTGTGTGTGATTTCTGAAATGTGCAAAAACATACTGAATATGATGTGCTCAACGGTGGAATGGGCATTAGTTGGATAACGACAACGGGATCTTGGAGTGCTGAATCATTCGACTAAAATTGTGGTTTGAATGTACCATTTTGTATCACAGTATTTGCATTCGTCAGCATGTTGTGCCTTCGGTCTGCGTGACTTGTCAGTACAGCTGTATATTTTTTATTGCTTTACATTTTTATACCTATGAGAGAATTCTAAGCTGTGTACATATACATGCAGTTGACAGAGAAAACTTCAAGATTTTTATTCTAGTTACTGAAATAAGCCACCGATGCAATGACATCAGAGATGCCTTTGAAATTATACCGTGACAGTGCAACGTACAGGTCTCTTCAATGTATTCATCACATGTATTCAATTAAATTAGTGTCGACCAAAGATTTAATGTGCAATATTAAGTGTATTCTCTCCAAGTGGATGTGAGTGACCAGGAGATTTCCTGTGCTGAAATAGTAAATGTAGTTGTCAGTGATTTCCATGTACAGTATGGTACCGGTACTTCAAATATGCACTGCAAGTTTTGGAGAACCCCCCCACCACGATCCTGTGTATGTGGTTACTGATGTGGAATGCGCCGTTAGTGTAGCCAAGAAATTCAATGCAAATCCCACAGGGCCTGATGTATATGTGCCATGTTGTGTTTCACTCTGATCTCATAGGAGTCGTCCTCCATTGCTGGTCACTGTTTGCCATCTTCATGTCACCTGGATCACTGTGCGGAATGTGCTGTGTAACCCCTTGCCCTATGGAAATCGGTTTTGTTGCTGAATGCTGGAAATGTTCGACAGGACTTCTTGATGCAAGCAGCGTGCTCTGTGCAGCTTGTTCTGAGCTCCCACGTGATTACCTGCAGTTTCTCATGGAGAACAGTGCCAGGGAGAAAAATCCTGGTGGTTTCCTTGTTTTTTTTTTTGGAAAATGGAGAAGGAGAAAACGCTGCGAGTGTTCAACAAGGAAGGAAGCTCATTACAGTTTTATCTGTGCGGATGTTCCAGTTTCGACATTGCCACATATTCACCAGAGTTCATTTCACCCATGAATACATGCGCAGACGACCAACAAAACTGCCTGCGATGGACTGATAACATCAAGAAATTTTAGCCGATCCACATCGAAGAGGAAATGGGAGAGAAATATGTGTAGTGTAGATAGCATTCCAGTTGGTTAAAGAGTTGTAAATCATTTCACCCAGTACTCAGAAACTCATATGCTATACATGTGCATGTGCATTGTCTGTAGCCCAGTTAAATAATGTGATATTTGAAGCAGTTTATGCAAATTCCTTAGTGTGTCAGTAAGAGATTTTATAGCTTGATGCTCTGTGGTGCACTGCACACATGTACATGTGTGCATGTTTACTCATGGAAAGCACCATTCACAAAAGCCAAAAAACCATGTTCTCATTGTGTGTGCTGACAAGCACGCATGGTTAATGCGTTGTGAAAAAGTCAGTGGTCTTACAGGTGTGGCAATACGCACACGGTTTGAAGCTACTTCTAAAATGGATTGAAATCAATGGACATTGGAATTGTGTCTATTGCATTATTCGTCCCAGTGCATGTGATTCTGTTTTAGTGTGTTGTGAAAGGACACTTTCATTGCATTAGGGGTCAAAAGTCAAAGAAGGGTCATTACAATGGTGGTTAACTTGTACCTGTCACTATGCATGGTATCAAATATTTAAAACTGACTTGCTGACATGGTCATGCACATGTACATGTATGGTACAAAGTACATGTATTTGGATTCAGTAATGAAATATTGCATGTATTGTTTGTTGCATATTTGAACAGTAATACTTGTACAATGGGCCCATCAAAATGATGACTTATTCTCGCTCAGGTTCCAGAAAACGAGGAACTTGGAGAGTCTGAAATACATTACTGTGGTAAGATCTGACCTACATGTACATGTACTTTACACTTGACAATTGTACATGTAAATGCTATTGACAGGTGTTTGTGTTTACATGGTGAAATACTGTTTAGAAACAACAGTGTCTGAAGGGTTCCCGCATACGGGTACATGCTGTATATTATTGAAACCGTCTCCTAGTCCTACAAAAGGTCACTGCTAAAGGTTACCAGAATTTCATGCATTCAGAGTTCCATGTAGTCAAATACAAAACGAGCCCACTGAATGGCCACACTTGTATGCAGTTCACAATCATCTCGACTGTTGTTAATGCAGTGTACAACTACTGTACCGTATACTGTACATAACAATGATTCCTACGTACTGGTACCAAGGTTGAAAGGGGTACACATATACACCAAATCAGAAAAATTCTGTGCAAGGCAAGTTCTACCTGTAGACATTTTTGCAGTGCTGGGAAATACAAAGGCATTACACTGTACATGTACAATACTCGTATGTATTTTGATTTTTCGGTTCATGCATACTTGAAGTCCTGACCCAGTCTGTACGGGATGGAAGCACTGTGTCCTTTTCAGCCTTTGTACATTACATAATTACCTGTGCACTGCATCACAACCAGTGTTGAATCGCTGCTGGTGACCTGCATTTTCATTCACATACTCACACATGTGCATCTGGATAAGGACACCGATACGGTAAAACTGTGCACATGTACCGGGTACCCCTTGTGTTGTGTGGCGGATATGAGTAGTTTACCATGGTACATATAGTTACTGGTTTATATTCATGAACCAAGCAACAAAGAGGTAGATTTGGAATTGGCATCAGTAGTTCAAAGAAGTGGTTCCCTGTAAATCTCCTATACTTTGGTTCAGCATTGACCTTCTCAGGTGGCATTCATGATTTTAACATACTGGACATGTGTCTCTATATTCATGTGTGCATGTGGTCAGCTTCCCAGCATTCATATAAGGTACACATACAGTACACGTTAATGCAGAATTGAAAAAGTCTGTGATTGGAATTAACGAGGTGTTTCTGTGTCTCTAGACGTATTTTTTTTTTTACCTGCTATTGAATTTTGTTGTGTATGCATGGATTGTGTCTGACGAATAGGGAAATGGTGCATCGTGTACTGTGTACATAGAGCAGTGATCAACTGTTGTGATGTGGAATAGCAATGGTGGCGCCCTTGGGTGTCAAGCTTCAGGACGGGTGAAATCAAATGCAAGGCCCACATCACAGCAGTCACTAATCGTTTGGTTACATCGTGACATCTTTTTTGAACTTGAACATTAGCATATGTTTGCAAATCATTTTTTTTTTTACCAACATGTTTATTTTCATTATCATTGTTGCAATTAATGGCGCCCCTTTACGTCATGTTGTAGTTGCTGCCCTAGCATGGCAGATGTTTCAGTATGTCAGATACTGAACTGTCCTCAGACACGTTCAGATGCTATTCTGATGGTGGTTATAAATCGGTACCTACATTTATAGAAATTGATTTCACACAGAATATTCACTGTTTGACGTTGACCAGGTTTCTAAAGGACCTCATTCAGACATCTGCTTGGCTACAGAAAGCCATGCAGTGACAGCCATGCTATTTCCTGTTGCATACATTTCCGACTTGTCAAAGTATAATAATGCTCATGGTTGTCATTGTTCAATCTGACAAACGGGAAAGTCAGTATATGGCGAAGCTGCTTAGCTTGCTGTGACTACCTGTACGTGTGGGTTGGTTGTGAACCTAGGCTTTAAGAGGCAACAGACTGATCTGGTCAGTCCTGTCCCCATGTGCTCTGACTAATCACAGTCGTGATTTATGGCCGACATGCATGCATGCATCTATCATGTGTGTGGAGGGGTACAGTCCATTAATTCAAGCTCCATTGAAAACAGTGTAAAATCAGTACTGTTCAGGGCCCAATAACATGCACGCCAACATCCCTGAGACTTCTGAAACACAAATGAAATTCTTGTCTGGTCACTGATCTCTCAATTTCTTTTCAATTTTTTGTGGGTTAACCAATTACATTTTTAATTATTCCCACAAAGCAAAATCGCCCCGGAAAAGTGATTTTTCCGAAGTCTGATTGCAGCCGTTTTTCAAGTGGCAACTCTTAACTTTCTTGGGCACTTAGGACCATTTTTCAACCGTAGTTTTTAGCCATTCTGCTCTCATACGAAAGCCCAAAGACTCTGGGGAGTTGATTCTGGCAAGGATTTACACAATGTCACCATTTTGGGGGCCAAACAATCTCCTTGTTCAAAAGATACCGTGGGGGCACTTTTAATGCTAATGAGCTGGCCAGAAATTCTCACTTGAATTAGTGGTCTGCACCCTGGGACACATACATGTATAATAACGGGGCATTAGAGAAGGGCCTGGTGAGGGTGGCTTACTGGAATGGTCTATTGTACAGTGTTTGCTTGACCTTCAACCTTTGCCCTCTGACATGCTCAAGTTTTTATTAATTTTATGTGTCAGTGTCAGAGAGGAAAGGTTTTAGGGATACCTGTGCCGATGTTGGTGCATGTGGATGCAATGTGGGTCACCAGTGCATTGCTATGATGTAATTTCGGTTTAGGTTGCTTAGAGGCCGTCAATTTTTCTGAACAAGCTTTTGTGGTGGAAATTTGCACATGCTTACTGTCATCGCAGCTTAACCTGTTTGTATATCTGGTTAGTACAATAAACAAGTGTGCAGCTTTCAAGTAAGCCCTGCACAGGTTTGTCATGAAGGCAAAATATTTTTTTTTTGGTCAGATGGTGCTGTTGCTCATTGGACAAGCAAATTGAGCAAGTTATTGGTCATCCCCAGTTGTCTCTCGGCCTCATATTTGAGAATTCCAGTGCTGTGTTATTAATGTGTCATGGGGAAAGATATTTTAAGCGAACAAATTGAATTTTGGAGGTTGCATTAATAGAAATTCGTCAGGCAGTTTTGCCAATTTAAGGTTTATCAGGCTACTGCTAAATGTGTTGCATGAAATGCTGGGATTATGCACAATATTTTTGATGCAAGGCATTTGTATGGTGTTCATAGTGATCAATATTCTAGTTCCAGCTTTTACATGTAGAACATAAAACCAGTGCCCCACAAGGCAACGGCAGTTACTCAACCCCCAATATTGCACTTTACAGCACACAGGTATTTGTAATTGTGTTCAGTACGTGTTTATGGTAACATTGTGAGTTATCCACTGTGATATGGACTAAAAATAAACCTTGTCTTTAATAAAGTTTACATGTACCAGTAGTAAAACAATCAAGCAGACCAGAAAATGTGAAGAAAGACTTTTGCCTTAGTCTTGGCGTTGCTTATTGGATGGTATGTGAATGTACATGTGTATGTCCCCCCCCAATCTGGCATTGTGACAGGTTCTACGTACATGTATTTCACCATTTGCCTGTAAAAAGTGCCAGATTTCAAAGAATCTCCCGAGCAATTCCATTTTTGTGCAATTTCCCTGAAATTTCATCCACGTGAAATACATGTACTTCCTAGGGTCTTTGAAAGAGGTACATGTATAGTATTCTGCTAATGTAACTTTCCAAACTTTCTCAAGTGTTGAGAAAAGTACATTAAAAACAAATCCTTCCACCATCAGCTTTGCTGAGTAACCCTTTTTTTTTCCCAATTCCATCAAATGAAATTTGAAATGTCTTCTTTGTGTTCCGTCATGCATGTGACACAGCCTTAACCTACATGTACATGTAGAGCAAATGAAAAGCTTACACCTTACCCAACTACTCACCCAATTTGCGTTCAGTAATGGCAGAAAATAGCATTGAAAAGCTGTACATGCATAACACAAAATACAGGTGCATGTATTCCACTTGAGCCAGATAAAAAGGCCACTACATGTAGATGATAAGTCAAAATTATGCAGACTCCATAAAGACTAATGAAAGCCATGTTTGATTCAATATTTCGTTTTTTATTCAGAACATCTTGTGACAGGACTTAGCTGAACCTATTACAATGTTGTGGGACAGGTTTTTGCCACATGCCGCTAGAAGTTATATTGAATCAAACATGGCTTTCATTAGTCATTATGGAGTCTGCATAATATTGAGTTATCTGAATATTATCAGTGGATCACCTACTAGATGACAAGCCCGATGCATTTTCCAGACTTTGGCCTCATTGAACAGATGATGTAATACAAACCTTTTCATATTCATTCCAAAAAGTTTTATTCATACATCATCCTTTGTTTCAACACAAAAAGCAAAACATACAGTTACTTCAAATAAAAAAGAAAAAGTTTTGGTCGCATTATGGACAAAAAGTTAATAGATTCCACCTATGCCAGATGACGCTCACCTGTAAACATTTGATACGTGTATGTAGTCCGGAGTAAAAATGTGACTACTTTCTATTTCATTCCAAAAATAAGATAGTAACGTAATTTAAACGAAGAGTTGAAGTACATGTTGTTACAATCCTTTCCTTACACCCCCTTCCTCAACCCCTCTAGCCAAAAAGACCACACATAGCAAACTCTTGCACAAGAGCACTGATTACCCAATCCATTAAGTACTAATTGCTAATTCAGGAAGTCCAGTTCTCTGTTCTCAAGTTAAAATTCTTGAATATGATCACAAACTTCAAACATATACAGCACAGGCCTGCCTCTTGAAAGAGTAGAGAATAAAAATAGCTGTCAGGGGAAGACCAGCCATGTTTTTATACAAATACGTTAATCTGACAGGCAAAGACATGTATCTGTCCAGCTTGTTCTGGGCCATAATTATTCTGTCAGGACAAACTTACTGACGGAACTGTCGCATAATGGAAATTCCTTGTGAAGTCCTTTATTCGAAGGATTATTCTGAGTAAATAAACACACAAAACTCTTTCCAGTCTTGGGGAATTCAGTTTTCGATCCCATGAAGCATTGAAATAAATGGCTCCTACAAGTCTGATGTACAATATACAGGCCAAAGTCTAACTCCAAATACAGCTAGTGTCTACATCCAACACTACGCACTTGTACATGTAGAAGGTTTATCCATACATGTAGGTACACAGCTTATTGCATTTGGCAAATGTTCATACCATCGTTATTACTCTTTAATTAAAAATCTTCCACCCATTATGTTGTCCAATCTGTACAATTTACAAAACTCTGAGAAACATTACTCTTTAGATGTGTGCAAAAGGAACAGGTAAGGGTCATTTCCCTTTTGCTTGCAAAATGTATCAAAAAATATAATTTGCAAATACCACAGAATAAGAAAATACGGTCAAACTCAAAGAGATCTGATGGAACTTGTACTGGCATTGAGAAACAACTTCTACAAACCACAAACCAAAGCCAGTGATTGGAAAGCGGACAGAAAATATGATATAGAAAAGACCTCGGGTTTTCCAGGTTCATTTACTCCAAATTGGAATAAAAACGATTTAAGTTTGGGTGAAAGTTCCGGGTTCTGAACTGGTCGCAGTCACAACGCAGCATTCATTTGGACTGATTTTCTTGAACTATTGAAATGCCCCATTTCAGAACATGGCTACATCAAGAAAAGATTGTATTTCAACAGCTGGGTAATTTTTCCTTTTATCAGCTGATTTCTTAAAAAAATAATTTCTGTAATTAACAATAGAGCTTGGTATACAATGTAGGTAAGTTTGTATTCAATTTAATAATTCCTTTATTCCACTTGCAATGTATGACAGCATGACTTATAAAAAAAGGTCACAATAAACATGGTATTGTCAGTCCACGCGATGTTCCAAGGAAACAAATATTTCTCTAAATATATCCTTGTTTTACAGAGGAGAGTCATTTACATATATTGGCCTACTCTTCTACATTCTAGGCATAGGTCTGCCGACTTAAAGACTGATTTTAAAAACTGTATGGGCAACAAATGCTTACAAATTCTGACAAACTGTTTTAAAAAACTGGACTTGTGGTCATTTATTATTTCAGGCAAACTTCAGTACTAGGATTTGGAAGATTATTTCAAGCAATCAGTCAGGTTCCTCTAAACTCAAGCCACGGAATAAGCACTATAGGCAGACTGGGTCCCTGTCCTCACTTCTAGGTACTTCAAACCATTTTGCCTTAGTTATAATTTCTGTGTATGTAATCCAAATACATGTATTCCATTCACTGCCGATAAATGTTGCAGCATTAATAAACGGTCAGTGGCAAAGTGCATGATTGTGTTAGAGAAAGGGAAATTTTTACAACTCCAGTTTTTGCTAAATAACATGGAAGAAACTCCTTTTCCCTGTCTGTTACTAATTCAGTGAAGTAACTTTTAGACGTGAAAAAGAAAATATAAATAAAATGGACGCATAAACTCAAAGGGCATTCACAGCAATGCACAGCATGCTTTTAAACAGAAGGTACTGGAGAATTTAAATGCATTTAGTAACTAATTGCAATCCAGAAGATAATTTACCGCTGCTTTTATTTTCTAAGATAGAACAAAGCTTAAGAGAATCTGCAAGACACAGGCAAATTCATACATGAAATAAGAATGGTTTAGCTTGTTGGTGCTTCAACATTGGTTAAAAACAAAATTTCAAACTGAGAGAACGTTGACAGCTTTTTGCTGATGAAAGTGATTAAATGAGCTGAGAATTAAAATGCAGAATCAAGGTTGTTGGAAGTCTGTTTTGCTTTTACTTCTCAACTTTTATGTAAGCAACCTTTCAAAAAAGAAGGAAATACACTCTGACCTCTTCCAAGTATTAAGAATTTAAAATGTGACCTGTTGAAAACGATGTCAAAATGGAAAGTATGAGAACTGCATGTTGCCGTGGGAACCAGACAAAAACCTTAATACCTCCTTTGCATTTCCATGGTATTTATCTGAAAATTCTGGGTAATCTGATGAAACCTGCAAGTTCAACCAACCCACACACCTATTTGATTGTCCCTTACAGTTTTGTGGCTGAATTGGGCATTAACTGGAGCTGCACATCTTTGTGAAAAAAAAAAAAGTGAAAAAAGTATGCTACATTGAAATTCAAACAACGATTAAGATATATCCATCCCCTGATTTTTTTTATATTACTTATAGAGTGATTTTCCATCAATGCCCGATGTATAATATACAATATTTAGAAATTTGGGATAAAAATTCCCATACAAGACAATCTTTACGCTTTTGTAATATTGTTTCCCTACTCTGATACAAAGAACATAATGAAAAGAATACAAAAATAATTTGTGACAACATGAAGATCAACTTCATCAAATCTTGCATCATCTACTGACTACAGACTGCTCATTACATCAAGACATGGGAATGTTAAGTAGAAATCTGAGTAATTGTATTCAAAAAGATAACTTCCGCCTTACAAAGGTCCTGCTTACATGTACAGATAGAGTGTATTCACATTTGATATATACAAGGCCTTGCTCTATTCTAGTGTATTACAACTGAAATGTACACTTTCTTCATTTATGTCCCTTCCCGTGATATTCAGTTAACCAAAATGCAACAGACAAAAATACCCAATTTTGAGAGCACTGCATCACCTCAACTCATTTTTAAAGGTACAGAAACTCAAATGGATACCACCGTGCAAAAGTTTAGACTGGCAGCAAAAATAATCTTTTCTCAATGCTTTTGAAATTCCAATCATGCAGGAATTGGCAAAACTTGCAATGACTTTTTGTTTTCTTTACAACAATCTTTGCGCCAAACACTGGAAACCGTTTAGAACAGATTTCGAAATTGGTGAGTTTAACAGCTGAAAATTAAAGGTGTAATCTAAGCAGAGTGAACTTCAATTTTGTTTTTTTTTGCAGAAAATCAAAAGCTTTACTTTCATTCTGAAACATAAGGATTGTATTGGTTTAATTTGAGATATGGTTTCCCCTGAAAATCTCTCAAACGTTTCATCTAGAAACCGACCGGAAGGCTGATATAATTGAACCAAATCAAATGCAAGCTCAAATGCTGCCCAGCCACAGCTTAAGGGCCGTGTGAAATCTGTGCAAAGAAAGATGTTGAGCCCATGATAAAAGAGAGCAGAGGATATGAAGTCAAGATGAAGATGGATAGTGAGTGGTGTTATAGATAGCTGCATCATGACGACGATGATAATGATGAGAAATATGGACTCCAGTAATAGCAATATCTTCAATGGTATTCAAAACACGTGCAGTGCATTGTGTACACACTTGGGTGGTTGCCATGGAGTTGTGTCCACCAGTCCAAAGATAAGTCGCACCATAAAGCAGTGCACACATGCACATGTACATGTGATGTGTCCTCGACTGGTTCTTGTAAGTAGCCTGGGTAGTGAGCCCATAATTCAGAGAACAGAGCAGGGTACCTTCTACCAAGATGTGTTCGTAAGCAATAAGAGTGGTTAATAGTAATCATTCTCTCCATGTCAGACACAGCTGTTAAGTTTTCTGAGCAAAAATCCCACTAGACTGTTCGGTACATGTACATTGCATTCTCAAAGATGGACAACCTCGGGTCTTATAGATGTGGGGTTCTGCTCTCCGGGTAACATATTCCCAGAAAAAATTAAGAAATATTTGTTCTGATGTTTTGAATTTAGGAGAATGCAGTTGACTTCTTTGCTTGGCAGTCAAATAAAATGTAATGTCCATGTTAGAATTCTATTGTTCAGCAAATTTGGACAAGTTGGGGGGTTATTTATGAGTCCCTACAATGCTTTGGGTCACCCTTAATAACTTGTGTGACAGGTGGACGCCTAGCGCCCTGGGAAATCACAACGTAGAAAGGTAATTAGGACTAGGAAAGAGAAAAAAAATGGCTGAAATTACATGCTGTCTATGGAGACGGTGTTTGCTTTCTGCTACGGTCAAAAGATGTCATCATTATTGCTGAAAATGTTCGTTTACCTGCTACAGGTAAAGAGCTTATCATAAGCAACCAACCCTGATGACATGTACAACACTTTATGTAAAAATAGTGAGTCTCAGCACTTAGCAAAATGCCAAAAAGGTTCCAGTTTTGCCTAAATGCATCAAGGCAAGTCTAAGAGTGTTTCCTGCAATTTTCTTTGCGTCTGAAATTATAAAGCGTGATTCAATTTATACACAGAGGTTTTCCCACGTTGGGTCAAGTACCTGCAAATCTCCAGCTGTTTTTTTTCTTTTCTGATGACAGATCAGCGAGTTTGAAATTTCCATCTCAAAGTCTCTTTTCCAGTGCTGTCTTTAATGATGGAAATATTCGTCAATTTAATTGGCCAAAGTTTGTGTAAAAGCAAGAATTGAAAGTGAGGCCCTTCAATATGGCCATGCAAGACAGCGATGAGTTCTGGTTCATCATTTCTGAACGTGAAATCAACTTTCAGGTCAGAAAACATTTACAGTGAAATTTGCAAGACGTGAAAGACATTTAGCATTTACTAGGTCATGAGGCGGATATATGCCATGAAGTAATAAATTCAATTTGTGTTGACGTCATGCTTAAATCTGACCTGAATGAACTCAAGCTACATTGGCAATTGAAGCAAAATAAATAAAGTCTTTTTGGGCAGACGTTCTCAGCCGGCATTCAATAGTTTCTTGCTTTCATGCAAATAACTACACACATGTACACTTAAATGACTTTTTCATTTGTTTTGGGGGCTTGCTGAGGGTTGGTTGGTTTGGATCTGAGCTCACAAAACAAAATGTTTCAAAAGGAAAATCTGACCAATGCCAGTGCCTACAACATCCGTGTTAGCCCACCACCAGCGAAAGAATGCATGACAATATACCTGTTGACATCAAGACATTGAACAACAACTCAAAGACGGCTGTTGTGATGCCTATGACGTGTGCTCTTCCTCTTTTACGCCTGTGACAAATTAATGCGATAATTTCAAACAACATTACAATCATGAACTGTTAAACTCGACATAAAGGAATTTCAGCCTCATGTCTTTCACACACTTCTCGTTGCTTTTCAGTGGGGGGGAGGGGGGAATGACCCCAGCAAAAAGACATGATCTATGAGTGGAGAGCTCAAATAAGTGGAGCAAGTGGCATATCCGGCGGTGAGTTCCCAACCTCCCCACAGTGACATGCTACCAATTTTTTTTTAAGAATTGAAAGCAACAGCATTGTAGAGAAGGTACTATGTGTATGACCTTCCGGGGGGGAGGTCTCTTACCAATGAAAAAAATAGGGACAGTTGTTTATGGAAACAATTTCATTTAGCCTCCCTCTGGACCTAAGACCTGGATATGCCCCTGCACTGGGTTGGAAGTTACCTTTGAACTGCTGCTCAGAAGGAGCACTTGACATAGTTTCTGAAAATTAGCACCACTGGCTTTCAAATAATCATCAAATCCAAGATGGGTGCACTTTTAAATGCCATGCACCTGGAAGGAGGGGAAGTGTTGGTTTTTGCTGCACTAAACACTGCTCAGACTTCGCCTGATTCTGGACTGGGCAGCAAAGATCCTTTTCGGGACTTTGGTCTCAGTGGGACTGGCGGGGGAACCTTTGGCTTGGGGGAGGCTTCCTTTTTCAACTCACCCGCAAGTTTCTCCGCAACCTGTGATGCAACGATCGATTCGNGGTGGGGGGGGGGGGGGGAGACAGTCGGGGCAGGCGGGGAACCGGGAATAGGGTCCAGGGGCTGTGGAGAAGGGGATAAGGGGATGGTGTCCAAATGCGGTGGGTTGGTAACCGATCGCTTCTCCGGTCGACTAGGGATGGGAGGTGGTGCCTCCTCCACCTCGCCACTTGATGGTCGTGGAGAATCTGCGTCGCCTCCCAAGGAATGGGACCGGTTTGCTTTCACTGGTACGGCCGGCGGTGCCTGGTCGTAGCCATGCCGACGGCGGGAGGCATGTGGGGGTGCCGACCCCCCTACACTGGTCTTCTTAGGGAGGGGAGGCGGGGAGGTGTCACCATTCTCAGGAAGCTCGTGAGGTAGTGGTCTCGCTGGCTCTAGTATGACTGTGCGAGGGATGGAGGTCTCGACTGGCTGAGACGGCTTATCCAGATCAAAAGAACAAAAAAAAATTCCATTACACGTCAAATGCTGATTCGTCTAAATGCACTGTACAAAACATAGCTTCATTCTGTAACAAACTGTAAAGAGTAAAAGCCAGTCCATACTACCACAAGTGCAAATTTGTGACGTCAAATCGCATATTCCTACTGCAAATTCACAGAAGGTGAACAAATGCTGCTGCAAATGTTTCATGGTGTTTCATTTCACTTCACTCTTGCATTTGGCCAAAGTATTCAAGTGGGTCTGACGACTAACAGAGATGTGATCTGAAGGTTACAGTCGGTGTGCTTTTTCAACAGGATGGCTAGACTCTATGAAGCAAGGCCCTCTAAGAGACATGACCTCAATGTATACATGTATCAGCTAAATGCAAAAGCTGCAACTGATCGTTGGCATCCCTAAGAAAGGAGAGTGTAACGATGCTTTCGTCAACAGATGTAATCAACAGATGCATGGGTAATTCCAGACATTAGGGATCCATTTTTTTCGTGTCCCTGTCACATCTGACATATGATTTTGTAAGTTCAGAACACATTTTCTAATTTTCAAGAGTGATGAATTAATGCAAATTACCCGCCAAACAAATAGTAATAGTTTGAAATAAATTCCAGTGATATTTCCATGTCAAATAACAAAGGTCAAACGCAACAGGAACACAAAAATGTCATATTTTTGGACCCCTAATTGCTGGAATTACCCAAATTTCAGATTTTGAAATTTGACCTACCCTTCTCTCTGGCAAAGCTGGAGGAATCCCAGATTCCTCGGACGTACTGGCAGATTCCCGGGAACTGGTTGATGAACTGCTTGCCACTATACAAGAAAAATCCCGAACCAGTGATCATGTACTGAACAAGCTTGGACAGAGGCAAGCAGTTAAGACTCAAGGATGCCTCTAATGCTAAATCCAAAACACAGGGCTAGTTTGGTAGCATTTCTGAGCAGCTGGTGATGAAATCTGAACCAACTTTTTAGAAGGCCACCATTTAGGCCAGGGGATACTTGCACTGCCATTGATCATTTAATATTTCAATGCCAGTGACTAGTTGTAAGCACCAGGCTTGTTGAAAACAACACACCTATAACATAATGACATCAAGTCCTGTGGCAGAGAGGTGGGAGGCAATCCATCAGTCTCCATATGAAAGGGCACATGTGAACAAAGCATGACGTCATGAGTTTAGGCTTCGTATGTTGGAGTCTGACTATTCAACTGATCTGGACAAGGACAAGACAGACCTAGAAAAGTAGCATAATGACAGTACTCCTGCCTGCCCTTAGTTGGTTAACAGCTAACATAATGACTTCAACAGTATTCCTGCCTGCCCTCAGTCGGTAAACAGCTTCACTCAAAATGATTTTCCTTCACTTTGCTTAGTCCTGTATTACAAACTTCATTATTATGTTAATGAAACTCTGTAGATCTCGGGTTACTTCACAAAATGTCACAAATGTTAAATATTCCAAGAAACTTGACCACGTGTAGCCTGTGAAACCTGATTTCCTCAAAATGCTGTTCTCAAGTTGGATTAAGCCTGTCTAATGTGCAACTCAAAGCCTGCATTCCTTCATTGTCATCCTTCGAGATGGGTAGTTCCTTTCAGAATCTCCTAAAGGCTACAAGCTCTGGCTGATTCTCCCCCTACCTGAGCTGGACGAGTTGGGTCGCGACCCCGTACTGTTCCGCTGCGATGGCCCCTTGTAGGTTTCCCTCAGGAGGTTGGTGACATCTCTGTCCTTATGGGGAGACTTTGCGAGTCTCTCTGGGGTAGGGACGCGAGGCGCACTCGTCTCAGATATGTCTGGGGATGGTAGGGAGGCACCTGAATGGGGGAAACATTTAGGGTAAGTCAGTCAGAGGGTCCGTATTAAAGGCATGGTGCCATCTGTTACGTCAACTCACACAGGTTTTGGGGCACCCAGTGTCCACAAACTGGGCATGTGGCTACCTGCTGATCTCAGTAGATAACTCATGTACATCTGAATGGTTGTTGTGAATGGATACCATATGTAATGTCAAACATGCACATTATGTGGGCCAAAAACTTTATGGGGACAAAATGCTTGTCCCTAGAATGCTGTTCTGACTTTCCTAACAAAAGGAAATGTCTTCTTAAAGTTGTCTGCCTATCCAGACATACTTGTCTCACACAGCTAGTGTGGACATTCGTTTGTTTTCCTATAGATGCACAAACTCCAGAAAAATACTCCTTTTCTCTCTGACGAATCCTTCATGCAGATTTTTTGGTTATTTCCTGTTCCTCTTAATTTTTCCACACACATTCCTGACCTCAAAATCTCTCTGAACTGTCGTCCAGAGAGCGGGAAACATTGAGAGGACGTTTAAGAGTCCACACATCGTCTTCACACTCCTTCACATCTTGGCGTTGGTTTTAAAGTGCTGGATTGTCTCTACTTACTACTTGATCGGTCTGAGGGCAAGCTGGTGGAGGAATCTGACTTCTTGAGGGGCCAGGGTACATTGAGTTTGTTGCGGTGTCCACCCTAAATAATGCGTGTTGAGAGAACAAAAAAGAATCAAACACTGTCAAAAATCACAGGTGTACATGTCAGGGGTAAAACATCACGACAGGTTGGTTTGGTTTGTTTCCATTTATCTCAGTTACAAGGAGACAAAGCAATCATGGAAACAAGTGATGAATGGTGGTGACTGGCAGAAAGCAGCTGCTTGTGATTGGCCAGGCCTTGATAAATGTAGTCAGGATGACAGGTAGATCAAGGTACTAGATTTCATCTTTCTGTCACATGCAATCATTTATTTTAAGGAATACAAATCTATACAAGTGATACTCTTTCTGTAAGTTCTTTTTAAACAATCTGCAGACCTTTGAACTCTGGAAAACGGTGCTGTTCTAACAAGTGAAGGGCTTTGTAATCTTTTTCATTTTTCATTATAAAATTATCCTATTCAGACTTCCTAAACAAGATGACCATGAAAGGCTTTCTCTACTTCCTTAATATTATTTTTTGCCTGAGAAGAGTTCATTCTGTGAACAGAAACAATTCGCTCCTCCTCATTGTGAGTTCACTAACTTTTCTTTGAGGGAATGGTGGACATGCGATACAGCATGTGTTCTGCAATAATGGGTGCAAGTGGGAGGAAGAGGGGATGAGATCTGGGCAAGGGGAGTAAGTTGCATTTCTTCCTTTAATTCTATGTCTTACTTGAATTTCTTTAGCTCTGTGACAGTGGGGTTTAGGCATTCAGGAAAAAAAGATAAAAAATTTTTGAAGATTTTTGAAAACCGAAGATATTGAAGAATCACCCGTATGGAAATGGTTTAAGGGTCCTTGATTTTCAATTGTTAAACTTGAAAGAATACCATGAAAGCTGGTGCATGTGAGTTTTGAATCGACTCATAAATGGTCTGAAGCTTTGGCAAATGCCCTTTTTGGCTCAACAAAGTGATTTTTTCTATGGCAAGTCAATGAATATGGCAAGGTATGCTTTAATGAAAGTGCAATTTGACCCTTCACCTCGATGAAAGCTGAAGCCAGGCCGCATCCAAAAGGGTCCTCCAAAGCTACAGCTACATGTTCATCACTGGTCTGCGCGTGTTCACATATTTACCACTAACGAAGACCCCAGGACTAACTCTAGATGCAAGACTCAGTTACAACTACATAAATGTACTTCTTCCAATGACCCGCACTCAACACATTTGTTGGCAGCAGTCTCTCCGTTATTGTAATTAAATTATCGAATCTACTACAATAATTAATTTAGCAACAATGTCTTAGAACTACTTAGAAAGCATTAAACAATCAAATCACTGCAACTTGTTTGGTAAAAGAGGTTCTAAAAATGTAGAAGACACTTCAGGGAAACTGGGCAGTATTGTTAAAGTTTCTAAACAAAATCAGACTCGAATTAATTTCTACCAGTAGACTGAAATTGACAAGAAGTACCTAGAGTATTAGAATAAATAGAGTGAATGATGTTCGGTAATGAAGAGAATCAATTCAGAGACGAAACAAATGAATAGAAACGATGGACTATAAAACACAGTCCAAGTGGAAGGATATGAAAGACAGTGTTACATCCATCAGTCCCTAATACTACGCTACCAGTTTGAAAAGAAAAAGAAGAAAACCACGGCCATGGACAATGGTCACAAATCCACCATGGTTGCAAAATGTGACTGTTGTTGAAAGGTACCTAGGAGCCATCACATGCCTTCCTTTCATGTGATGATAAGACATAGATTTGTGCGCATTCTGTTGAAAATTGATAGCATGTAATCTGAGCCACTCACACAAACCGGAAAGCACACAAAATTTACTCGTAGCAGTCACAATACAACCACACGTTTTGTCTGGAGACAGCATTGTGTGGTCACTGACGCCAGGTGCAGTGTAGGTGCAACACTACGCCCAAACGATGCAAAGTCTGCTCACTGGAATTCTTTGTTCAAAACAAGCACAAAACCCATAGCATCAATTCTTTCAGTAGTAATTCAAGCCTATACCATTCATTGTTAACCGGAAAATCCTTTGGGTTTTGTCTGGGCACCCTGCTGAATCTGACAGAATCAAAGAACTAGAACAAAATGCCCTCTTGTTCACTGCACACACCAAAAAATCCCCACAAAAAGTGACCGGTGTTGAATATCATTGGATTTAACTTGGTTAGGGTTAAAGGTAGAAACACGAGCAGCACATAAGAAAATGTTATCTCTCTACATTAGGCAATCCCATGAATGTTTGTATTAACACATGACACCAATAAGTTATCCGATTCATTCCTCTGCCTACTGGTTTTTACACAGCACCATCTATCCCTACTGTGACCAATTTTTCTCGGCCCCATTTCTTTTCGAGAAAACATGTCCATTTTATATCATTCTTGCACCTGCATTTCACGCAGGGAGAACAAAACTACCCCATGTACACCTGAAGTCATGAAATACAACAGCAAGAAGAACACATTAGATGAACCAGAGTGAATGACCTGAAAGGTCAAAGGTTTTCCTGAGTGAAGTGAATGACATGTCACCTTTGTGAATGAACTGTAAGACATGGTTTGGGTTAGTAGGAGGAGTTTCAAACAAATAAATCATCTTCTGAACCATTACAGCATCACTGACGGTTCAAGGTTTACTTGCCAAAAATAAAAAATGCCATTGAAATCTATCTTCTTTCCTTTGCTATCAGTTGTACATTTTGTTTGTCCAAGGATTGATATTAAAAGTGCTGGAATTTTGCCTTTCTTTTTTCTTCATAGCAGAATAAAGTGTTAGTCTGATTTTTCTGATGCAACAACCATGTTTGTCTTGTTCCCAAGAACCACATCAGCTTCACACTGAGTTAGACCGCCATTCAGAGGCCCCAAGAAATTACGACCACGTCTCACTAAGAGTGATATACATGTACACAGGTCACTGAAGAAATTAGGCCTGACTGCCGTCAGACAAAATGAAGTGATGAAGCTAATTGCTAAGCTAAAATGTCCATTCTGCCCAAAAGGACAATGTTGTTTATTTCTCAAACTAATACAATGAGTTCCCGGGGACTAACATACTGAAACCATCACCTGAAAGGTGGAGTTTCTTCTAAAAAGGATGAATTTCAAATTTGCCAACATGCACGAATTCAGTTCCTAAAATACAGGTGGCTGAAATTGTTCCTTTTTTTTTTTTAGAAAATCAGTATAAAAAAACACAAGAAAAATGGTTATCCCTTGGACTTTGACAAGAATGGTTGCTGCTCTGCTAGAGTGACATGGAGGTGATGTTAGTTAATTAGACCTTTTAGAGAGAGTTGGAGAGAGGAGTGCTTCTTGACAAGAATACCTCAATCAAAGTGGTCGCTATTGTCGCCCGGCTTCTCTTGATAGGTGAAGTATCCTGAGATGACCATCTTCCAGCCAGGCCTTGCTGCAAGATGGTGGGTGGGGGGTGTGGGGGGGGTGTGAGATGGGGTCAGGTTTGCGCTTACTGTGAGGGTTCTTTTTTAATAAAGGGATGTCTATTCGAACTTGCATGCTGTATTGAATCAAGTGGTGTGATGACAAAGCACTTGAAACAGGCCTTCATCAGTTAAGTGCTTAAGGGACTCATCTTGCAAAAGTCTGTTTTGGAAACGGGCAAAATTGAGGCAATCTCATGCAGAAGCTGCTGGCTTTTCTCAACAAAAACCGCAAGTGAAAAGCTTTCATGCATGCCAAGAAAATGTGGCCAGCAGTGAACCCGCCTGCAAATAACAGAATTCAGCTAAAAGAAAAATGCAACTAATTGCAATGCTGCCGAGGCTGGTTTAGTCTGCTCAGTTCACATTCCCACGATCCTTGCAAATGTTTGTTGTCATTCTTGGGTACCTCATTGTAACACTGGCGCATAGAGGCCACCGTAGCTCGGCCGCGTTTCATGGCTTGCTCCCGCTCTAAAGGTCTGAGCCTGTTCAGTGTGGCGTGCTGTGAGGGAGAGCTGGTACTTTCAACTTGGGTTAGGGACAGTAATGTGCACAGATTACTCAAACAAAAAGCTGGGGGCTTGCCAACTGGGCCATTCATACTTCAAGCTGTTGAAATATACTTCAAAGAGAAAAACCTACTTGGCTCTTAGGGTCTCCTTTTTAAAGTTTTCGGAGTCATTGATTCTCAGTGGTTTTCATAATTAACGGGATGATTTTCATCTTGATATTTTGGAAAATACGTTCTTTCTGTCTTCTTTTCTGTTTTGCAATCTTGAAGTATGTTTGACTCTTTCACTTAGTTTCTCGTGACTTTTTCCTCCAAAGATCCCTGGTTTAGTTAGAGTTTGTAACTGTGAATTCCCACATAGTGAGTTTTTGTCAGGTTACATAAATACTGCTCATTCATTCAAGTCTTATGACCAAAAAGAGCTTCTGATGATGAGACAACATGTCAAAGTACTGGGCAAAACTTATCATTCCCTTCGACATCTCTCAATTTTTTTGATCAGCTTCAGCAATTATTTGTTGCAATCAATCTTGAAAAATCTCAAAGATCATTCTGTCCAAATAACTTTAGCCGTGTTTGCACTGGACTTTTTTGGTCAAACTTACAGAGACGATAGCTACTTTTCCCATTTTAAGTCCAGTGCGGACATCCCACGAAGTTTTCCTCTAAGTTACTTGTAATGAGCCGCACGTCCAATATCTACCAGGCAACTTCTGCCTAGGAAAAATGACTGAGACCCTTTTCCCGAAACAGAAAGTCCAGTGTGGACAGTGCCAGTCAGTAAAAGCATGGGAAAGTGGCCGGTAGAGCGTACATCCGACCTGAGCACAACAGCATGTTTCATATAGGGAAACTACGCATGTGCGTTGCACGTTTTGTCGTGGTATGGTATGTGGCGAATATTTCCCAGAAATTGTTCCTCTTTTGGGTAGAAATCATGGCAGAAATTGTTGACATTGTTGCAAGATTAACAAGTGTTAAGACTGCACCATTTCCAGATAAAGAGAATGGTAACGTTGTGTCTGAGGACGAAAATAAATGCAGAAAGGCCACACAAATGACTCTCATAAGTCCTGGCACTGCCAGCTCGGTTACTTTTCCAGTGGTCTCGGTCAAATTTTCCTGTGTCGAAAGTCCAAGTGCGGACAGTGGTCACATTTGTCCATGCTTTATTGACCACTGGCTCGGTAAAACCCATGGGAAAAAAGTCCAGTGCGAACACGGCTTTTGTTGAGTTGGCAAGTCTCCACCAGGGATAGGTATATGAGGCAGTTGCATGCAGCATGCCACCACGATGCAGATTAAATCCATGCAAATTAGTAAACACGTCAAAACTCTTTCTCCAAACAATCGAATCACTAGGGGCAAGTTTCCTGCCACTTTGTGCCGAGGCCATCGTAACTATATACGAATTCATTCAAGTGCTGAAAACATTGCCGCAACGCACAGCAGGGGATGGAAATCTGTAAGGTATACATCCCAGTCTGAACGACTGATTTCTGGTGTCATACAAAACCGACAATATCACAATACATTTTGACCCGTAATAATGACTAGGCTCAAAGGAACCTCCAAGATCCTACATACCTGTATAGATTCACTCTATCTGGAAGATTCTTACCTGGTCTTAGTCTTGTAGCTATAGTTTGCTTTGAAGCAGGAGTGTTTATATGGTGGTAACTAAATATGGCCACTTCTCTCATTCAAACTCTGTTCCACAATCATAAACAGTCTTTACCTGCCTTGCCATTCAATCTACTCAACACTACAGGTCGAAACCATAGCATATTACTTGTAACCATTTTTGCTGGTTGTCAATGTGGGACTGTAAACTGTGTATCTCCCTTGCCACTAGTAATTCTTTCACAGTTATGTTTCTTTAGGTTGGAATACCAATCCCTGACTAGGCTGAATTCAGGTACAAAAGTAAATTGACTTACATGTATGTCCAGGAGCCAATTTCATAGAGCTGCTTAAGCACAACATTTGCTTAAGCAGGAAAAAACTTTGCTTAATAAACAAAGGTTACCAGCTCAAACTCTTTCTGATTGTCATGCTAACCAAAAACAAGCTAAATACAATCCAAAAAAAATATACATCACATGGAGTTTTGGCTGGTTACCTGATTTATCAAGTAAGGTTTTCTTGCGCTTAAGCATGTTTTGTGCTTAAGTAGCTCTATGAAATTCTGGTAGCAAGGCCGTAGTGAAGTCCATCACAAGTCATTATTCGTAGCAACAGAGAGACTGCGGAATGCTTTTGTCACGGTTCACGTGAATAGTTTTGTGACTTGGCTTGAAACTAAATGGCTTATGAGGACATGTAATTGACTTGTGAGGACATCGGATTGACTTGTGAGGACATGTGGTGAATACTGGTTAATCACAGATATACCATTAAAAACCCTCTTCTTGTTTCTAATTATCAGACTTTTCGCAATACTGCCACACCAATCGCAGGTATCACCAATGAAATTCAGCATAGTGGAAATACCTTTCAATGGTATCGTTAATACCAAGGTTCTAAGTGCATAGGTCTTTGGATGCGAGACCTTGACACATAATAGCTTCACAAGCTTTTGCACTTGTTCATTACTTTCCCTTCCTCTTAAACCATGCAGTCGGGCACATCCATCAGGGAAATAATTGTCTTTAATCTACAATCCAAATTGCAACATCCAGATTTGACCCCTTCCAATGATGAGCCAAAACTGGGCCCAATTCCAGTTGATGTTTGCTTGGCAAGCTTTTCTGCAGGGCCAAAACCAGCTGGGAACCAGTGACAAGCAACACACCTCCGAAGGGATTTTGGCGGGAAACCAGTTATCACTAAGGCCAAAAAAGCTGTGCTTCCCATTACAGTATGAGCAGCAAGACACATCCGGTGGCATTTGTCGCAAATTAAATGAACAATAGTTTAATAAAAAAGTAAGTTGAACTTATCTCCTCCACATTCAAATTAAAATAAACACACTTTTTCTTTGTTTTTCATTTCACATTTTCTTAAAATTGCCCTTCCAAAAATATTTTCAGGGTTGTGCCGTCAAAATAGGGTAGTTAGTGAAACAGGAAGCATAACTTTTTTTGGCTTAAGTAATCTCTGTGCATGCTGTGCCAGTATGAGTGATTTAACAGTTGTATGAAATGATGCAGGCCCCTTCTGTATAGAGGGTTTGCATGGCTGCCATCTTGTGGGCCAGTGTTTCTGTTCAAACTTCAACAAGTAATGCAAAAAGGAGGTTTCCCTGTGGGACAAAACAAGTGCTCTCCAAGATGGCTACCATGTAAAGCCTCTATCAGTATAATCCAAAATTCAATCCAACAAGCGAGTCACAAATCTCCTTGATCTGTGTGATGACAGACTAAGGCCTCTGAAACCAAAATCAAGACCTTGCATCCTCACATCACATTCAAATTCCCCCAAATATCAGTCTCCATGCTGCGCAAGTCACATGCATGTGACCAAGATACCTACCCCATACATTCTACCTACCACAAACCACTTGCGATACTGTCAGATTGAATAAGCCAGTGGGAATCAGGTTTTAAATCAGGCTCTTTAAAACATTCGACCTGCCATACGGCTGCTTGCCCAGTGCAACATCACATGCTTGAAGGAGTACATGATCAATTGATGTTGTTCTGCTGTGACTTAACTTGAGATGGAGAACCAACGAGGACTTGCTGGGACTAGTGAGGACTTGTAATGACTTATGAGAACTTGCGTTCAACACTGCCAAGTCTAATTGCCAACAAATCTGGATCTGACTAATATCTCAAGTTTGAAAGCAATTAGTTCAACATCAATCAGCGAATCTTGAGGTCATGCTGCTCAGAAAAAGCTAACTGGAAGAAGTCATATGAAGTGGGTAAGTTTGGAGTAAACACCAGAGATTTTACCCAAACCAAATAGCGCCCTCTTGTGTCCGCCATACCTCAAATTAACCAACTGCTGGACAGGTTCCCCAAATAGGGTATCTTTCTACTACCTAGAATGATGTGTCTTTCTGCGCAGAGGTGCTTTTCCTGTTTGCATACTACTGTGTTTGTCTTTGGCCAGAAAACACCCAAAAATTTCAAGACATATTTTCAAAAGAAATACTTTTTGACTGTATCCTTCAAAATCCACCAGCAGGGTTGGTAGGATTTTGCAAGATTGAGGAAGATAGACCCTACGCACTATTACACTGCATGGGGCTTCATGCTACTTGGAAAACAGAACACAAAGAAACACACTTTACTGGTTCCCTGCACATTAAGGAAAGTTTCTAGCAAAAAACTACCCAGGAGTTTAGACTTGTGGACAACTTCTCCGCACAATATCCTTCTCAGAATGGGCTGAAGGAAAACATTTTCAAATTAAGAGATAACTAAGGTCACCTCTGACGACATAAAATTCACTAATATCTGCTCCAGATATGGCATACAGCATCTCAGAAACAATGGCTATATTTCCTAGCAGCGATTTATCAACAAGAAACCCTTACTTGTGTGGGTGACACCGAGGTGTCGCTCTCGGTGATGGAATCCAGGTAGAACTTGCTCAGACTAGGCGACTCTTCAGTGGCAGGCTGCGACTTGCTATTAATACGCACAAAGACAAAAAAGGGAAAGAGAAATTTTACAAGATGAGATAAAAGCCTAAAGGGGAGGTTGCAGCTTGACTTACAGCTGTGTCCAACTAGCGTTTCTACTTCTGAGTTACTATCTAGGGATATAGTTGAGTCGACTTCGTCTGAGTGTGAGCTGAGCTAAGTTCATGAAGGCTTGAGTCTGAGCTAGTGTTGCAGTTGAGACTCCTCAAAATCATCACGGGGCCCAACAAATCCAATAGCAGACCAACACAAGACCATCACAGGACTCAACAAGACCAATAGCAGACCAACGCAAGACCACCACAGGACCCACCAAGACCAATAGCAGACCAACACAAGACCATCACAGGACCCAACAAGACCAATAGCAGACCAATGCAAGACCATCACAGGACCCCACAAGACCAACACAAGACCATCACAGGACCCAACAAGACCAACAACAGACCAACACAAGACCATCACAGGACCCCACGAGACCAACAGCGGACCAACACAAGACTATCATAAGACCAACAAAAGACAACCACCAAACCCCACCAGGCAGTACCAGATCAACACAAAACCAACCAAACTCTTTCCCTCCCAGTATGAAAAACATAGTCACAAGAATAAGACACAACCTATGTTATTGTTTTTTTCTCAAGAACACAAAATACTCAAGGGACAGAGCTAGTCTGAAAATGATATTTGGGTACTCACCTTGAGCTTTGCGAGGTAGGTACAATTGATTTCCGGAACGTGGTGATGGCAGAAGCTGTGCTGATCCTCGGTCCCTTGCCTGTTGGCGTTGGGGGAGTGCTGGCAACTCGGATTGGCACAGTCGACTGCTCATGAGAAGCATAATCAATCACATTTTAGCGTTAAGTTAAAACAAAATGACATAACCTTAGAAATGAAGTCAGGAATTACCAGGGGCAACCTCAACACTTTTCATCCGCGCAATTTCCACTTTTCATCTGAATGCCAAGGCAATGATACATCTAAACGAAAAACTTGTCAAGCTCTTTTCAATGTGAGGTCAAACAAACCTGCTGAAAAAACATAACTGCGGGCTCAAGTTATGGAATCTACTTAAACATGAACTTGAATTACAAGTGGATAGTGAAAAAATTACGACATGCTCACATGAAGTACATGAAATTTATTCAGATGAATAATTCATGGCAAAATAAATCACGACTAAGGTGTCAAACGAGGTGGAGAGACCAAGAACTAGAAGAGAGAGGGAGGAAACATACCAGGCCAAAGTCTCTGCGGAGTTCGGAGAGTTTCATCGACAAGTTGTGCTGGAAATGAGCTAAATCATCTGGGCAAAGTCGCTCGTGAAGATCCACTCCTTCCTTCAATATCTGCATCTGTATGGACATGGAATGGATGAGATACTCGGACAATCAAACAACGGCATTTCCAACGGATTATAAATTTGTATTCTGGCAAGTTAATCAGAGACAAACTGTCAACCAATAGTCAATTTTGACAGGTAGACTATGCATGAAATATATATACCGGGTACCAGGCAAAAATCAACCAGTGGTTAACAAATTGACACTGATCCAACTTGCCCTTTGCCTAACAGGAAATTCTTTAAAAAAAAAACAATCCTGTCAACTTCTGCATCAATTCCACATTGTCACAGACAAACAGACATCATAGCTGTGGAATTACTCATGCACTAAAAGGTACCAGTAGTTACCAGGAAAAATTAGTTGAGGAGACAGGGTTCCCCCCCCCCGCAACTTGATTCTAAATTTCCTTATCAAGAGAAGAAACTGCCCCTTCAACACAAGGATGACAGGGGCAACAAAACGTACACAAGAACGCACGCTGACCTCATCACACCCAAAACACTGTTCATTTGTTAGGAGTTCAAGAAACAAGCAGATTTCTGTGCACAGTACAAATGAGCAGGGAACCAGCCTCAAGTAACATACTTTACATGGCCATTTGGCTGGTAACCTGTTCTTGCTAAGCAGATATTTTTAGCACTCAACAGAAAATGCTCCTGAAGGGGTTGTGAAACACATTCTACAATTCATAGAAGCACTGTGTTCCCGGTGCTTCAGTTGTCATATTCCTTCATATTACTTCCTGCGTCCGGAGTGCCAGAGACGGGTTGTAATGAGCAGTCAGGGTCAAAGGTTGAACATGCTCACGCTGATTCAATCCCATAGACAATGTGTTGCCGACATGCGTTCATAGAGGCACAGCAAGAGTTATCTTTTAAGAGCGAAGTGTAACTAAGTGACTTTAGTTGGGCCATGGTCAGTGGAATGTGACGTCACATGCTGATCTGCTCCCCATTTACCTGTTCCTTGATAAGTCCTTCCAGTTGTAAGCACAGTTCACTGTCCTCTGGATGAAGCTTCTTGTATTCGTTGCTCAGGAAGGCCTGAAGAAACAAGAATCCACAAGGTCCAATACTCAAGAAGTATGGACTGCTAGCTACTTAGAAGTGACTAATAATTAAGTGGAAATCACCTTATGGCAAGGTTCCACGCTACGCAAATACCAGCTTTTATATCAAAATCTATTTTAGGCTGTTTAGATGTTTCTTTTCCTACACTAACAGCCATAATCCTGACCCTGCAAGATCTTTAATAAAAACATTCACAGCGGATTTTCTAAAGCTTAAATGCACTCCAGAATTGTGCCTCTGACCCACAAATACTGCCACTGTGTTGCAAGTTCATATTATTTTCACTGACTCTGACTTAGAGCAAGCGTAGTATCAAATTTCAACTACAAAACACAGTCTCGTTGGTTGTATTCAATGTCTCAGTGGACAAAATCCTGGCAACCAACGTTCGAGGTAAAAGGGGAAATTTTACGAGAGTCAAAATTTCGTACAACGTCCATTCTGAAGCAGCTAGAATAATGATAAAGAAGTGTCTTGAGAATTATCAAGAGTCCAGAACTACTGGGATACTCCACTGATTCAATCAGATGGTCAAACATAAACACCTGACTGTGCCAACACTTCTAACTCACTCACTTTCCACGTTTAAAACCATGACATAACAGAGCTGTGCGGCATTTTTCCGCGTATGGACCAGAGACAGTTTATGACTCCAGGGTGACGTGTCATAATGCTATTGAGAAACGTCACCATGAGATGGCTCCATGACATGGACATGCACAACAGCTGGTATCCTGCACATTGTGCCTACCAGTTTGTATTTCTTTGGACCGCCCTGCACCGCAGCGTCGATGGTTCCCTGCAGTACCATGCTGAGTGGGTTAATGTTACTGTTGGGATTGGCGTACATCTCAGCCGTCAAGGTGCGGATGGCTTTGTTCTTGTTCTCCATGACGTTGACGGCATTCTGGATGGGGGTCAGCTCAATCTGGCCAAACCAAAATCAGGGAAAGATTGGTATCAAATCATTTCAAAACTGTAAAAGGCCAGCTTTCTTTTCTAAAAGAATACAAAAGCTGCAAATTTGTTTCCAATTAAACGCACAACCAACGGCTACAAATGAACAGAGTGGAACGTTGAACAAGATTACTAATATGTAAACACTACAAGGATTATACCCTGAGGAATTTGGGTAAGTGGTCATCTGAACAATGTAGAAATGGCAGCACCAAGTCATATCATCTTTTAGAATAAGTGGCCCAAGGTGTCACCCCCAAGGGAATGTTTAAGTACTGGACATCAATGCAAAGATGGAGATGGGTAATGCTCCCTTCTCATTCCAGTGGAAAAATTGCACATCTTTGACATTTGTAACATAGCAGAAACAGTATGCTTCTTCAGCCTCACCAGTGGGGCAGACAAATGCATTTCTTCATCCTCATTGACATGTTCCAATTTAATAATTTAAGGAAGGGAGGTTGGCTCACCGTTTCAGTATCGACAACGTCAGCCCATCGTAGCAGACTGGGAAGGGTGTACTCTGTGTTGAGCTGTGTCTGTTCTACACAGAGCGTCTGTCCACAACAAACAGAAACAAGGAGAATAACCTGTTCTCATTTCAAAAGTCAAGCTTGTGTCAGTAATGTCAGTTATAATCATTTCTGTCCATTCTGATGACTTCGAGTTTCAAACAACGTGCAGGGTCAATTTAGGCTTGTAGGCCCTCTTTTGTGGTTGCCTATGGTTTCAACCTAACCCCACAGAGTAGCTCAAATTTCAAAGAGTTGTTCGTGGACCAAGTACAGTTAAAAGTTAACATTGTCTCTTTGAGCATTTCACATCCAAGACCTGGGTTGAGGCTCTGCTATCAAAAATGATGTAAGGTGCCCAACTTTTGGAATAAAGGAGAAAGTTGGTCAAATCTGAGAATAATGCATTCAGACACCTACACCATGTGCCAAGTCTTTTCTCTGTAACCCGATTGCAGGATTCAAGAACTGTTAGAATGAAGTTTGTGCTGAAAGCATGGATGGGAGCTGTGTGTTCTAAACCAAGGAAGACCACACTGCATGTGTGCTGAGTAGCAGAATATAAACGGCAAGTGTTCGTCAGAATGTGTACAAATCCAGAGCATTTTTTTTCCACATGGATCCGAGATGTAAATGGTGCTAAACTATCCAGTAGTATTAGTCCAGTTGAATATTTTGGAAGCAATGTTTTACCTTGAACTCATTGTCAGGATCTTTGTCTCCCTTATGGAAGGGACGGTCAAACTTGAACTTGCTGATTTTGTGGGTGTCGTAGAAACCGCTGATCTGAATCGGCACATTCATGTCTCTGAAGGGATTGTCAGATGGCACTGTGTCAACCGATCTAACCTGGATATCTGTTGGTTACTCAAGTTAAGGTAATAAATGTAGATTGTGTGATAGAGTAGTAATTTTATTACAATGGAACCAAAAATAATTATGTGAAAATAAGCAGAAGAATTCAAATCACTGGAGCAGAGAGAGTCTCATCATTTCCAAATGATTTCCTCTTGTTATCACTAGTTTGTAAGCAGAGAATACTCATAATTCTATGTTATGTGCTGTGACGATTTGGGAAGTTCATGCACTTCATCTAGGAATAATTCTTATTATTAAATTGCAGTGCCAGGATTTTTTTCCAATAGTATAATGTTGCCAGGAGATGTTATATGCCAAGAGATGTTTTATGCCAAGAGATGTTTTATGCCAAGAGATGTTTTATGCCAAGAGATGTTTTATGCCAAGAGATGTTTTATGCCAAGAGATGTTTTATGCCAAGAGATGTTTTATGCCAAGAGATGTTTTATGCCAAGAGATGTTTTATGCCAAGAGATGTTTTATGCCAAGAGATGTTTTATGCCAAGAGATGTTTTATGCCAAGAGATGTTTTATGCCAAGCATTTTTCTGCAATTCGGCCCTATAATAAGTGTGACAATAACGAGAACTTTGATTTCATTGAGTTTTCTGCATTCACTTCAAGGATACACTGATTGTTCTGTAAGTCGGAGTTGTCTGGCGGCGTGTTCTTCTGCCAATTCTTGGCCTGGGGAAAGTCAGCCTGAAGCCGCTCAAAGACAACGCCCAGCTGGTCAAAGGGACGGCCGCGATAAATCCACGCTTTGCTCTACCCAAACAAGACAAAAGACAAGTAAACAAAACATGTTTTTGTACAGCAACAGTTGAAACAAAAAGTCTACCGCTGCATGTTTAGATCTATCATGTTTCACTGAACATCCCACATTATCCTTTAAGATCCACCATGTTCAAAAGATATTATATGATTTAAAAAGGTCGAGGGCCAGTCATTTTTATGTTACATGCCTGTCCCTTGAAGATTAAGTACCTAAAATGATTGTTGGGTTCCAGGTGATTGGATGATTGGGGAAAACTACAGGCTCTAGGCAACTATGTCTAGAAAAATGAGGTATTAACCTGTTCTGATTTCTTCACTGCCTTCTTGTCTCTGAAATATTGTAACTGAAGAATAACGTTACCTTGAGAGGGAAGTTGCCGTAGAAGGTGACTCTGAAGTAGGTTGGAGGTTGTCTCTGCTTCTTGAGGATGTTGTCGAAGAACGACGCTTGAGCTTGCTGATGGGAGTATGAAACAATGAAGTGAAAAACAGTTTTTCTGGGTTGTACATGTAGGTCTTTGTTTCAAGATGTTTTGCATTGCTGAAATAGCATAAGACCCAACAAAGACCATCAAAAATGATAAGCGTTGGGGAAACATATGAGGCTTGGAAAGAAACGGGTGGTTATTTCACTACTTTGCATTATTCTATTTAACACACTATGAGCAATGTGCATTTCACATCAATATGTTCAAGTATACATGCAACCATAGTGACATGAACAACATATTCAGCATGCACACCATTTTTAACAGTTCTTGATGTTTTGACAAATGCATTTTGAAATCTGTAATCCATAAACTACATCAGTATGATTGCTACACTACCAGAAGTCTCATGAGATGAGCTCACACATGAACGCATACCGGAAATGCTAATTAAAGCTTTTCGATGAAATGGAAATTTTTGGACTCGCCCTAAACTCAGACCCTTTTAAGAGAACAGTGTAAGTTAAAAAAGCTGACATAATTATCAGCAAAAACAGCAACAGAAATGTTTCTTACCAGGATTCTGCTGTTCTTTCCATAGTCAAAGAGCTTGCTCTCATACTGTACCGACAACTCTTTGCACAGGGGAATACCAAACTCCCAGATCTGAGACGAAGAGCAAAACTAAAACTAGTCGCTTCAGATGAAAAAAGTATTTGCCATATAGGGCTACATTCTAGAAACAAGTGCATAGGATATCCCGCACTACTTTTGGTTGGTTGATTGATTGATTCATTTCCATACCTCAGAATAAGATTACAAAGAAACAGAGTTATTTATAGAATGAAGTAAGGGGTGATGAATGGTGGATACCAGACAGAAAGCAAATGCTTGTTCATTGCCTGGTTCCTTATCTGTCACAATAATATCCACTTAACACAGCGATGATATGAAAAATGCAGATGTTACCACCAAGGAGAAAATCGTTAGATTTGTCTTTATTCTATGCCAGAAAAAAGTTTCTTTTGCTATCTGGTCTGAGTCACAAAATGATGACAAGGTTGAGTTTGATTTCTAAATTTGAGTCATTTAATACTCAACACACAAGTCACGAAGAGGTTACTTCATATTCAACAAAACTGCTTGCCATGGTTGAAATGCATTCAAATTCCGCAAGTTCACAATGCAAATATTTATTGCGATGTTATAAATTCACCCACAAGCTCCCTTCTTCAAGTATGAACCTGCCTCGAGAATCAAAGTGTGACTGGAGTCACTTGCAACTCAAATCTGTTTGATACTGCAAAGTTGGGTAGCACTTAGCCCAGGTTGGACTTTGTCTTTGCACCCTTTATACCCTGGACTCCCTCCGTAAGGTAGTACGGTCAGGGAGTCCACCAGGGCTAGGTAGCGCTCAGCAAACCAACCTCGCCTTTGTCCATTAGGTTAATGATCTCATGGTAGAGCGATTCCTTCCTCTGCATCTCGCTCTGCTTCGGGTGCTTGTCGTCCGATGGCAAGATCTTATTCCGCCACTCCAGAGACTTGGCCAACACCAGCAACGTGAAGGCCGCTTCCGTGTAGTCGTTGGACTCCAGATGGAGGTCTCGTAGACGGTAGATGTACCGGGCGTAGATGTCTTCGCGATTAGCATCATCCTTGTAGAAATTCTGCCATTTATACCGGGAGAAAGAATGTAACCGTAGGGCCTTGTAAAAGCAAATTGAACTCAAGTTGCTGACCTTGAGAGTCAGGTTGCTCTGGGGTTACTTTCCTCACTTTCCACCTCTGTGACCAGGGATGCAATCCCACCCAAGATGACATGTAGAATGGGTTTGGGATTGTCTGGCGTTTTCCTCCCATCTCTTAAAGTAAACATTTCTAAACTATCTTCTCCTCAAGGTCTCTTGGGAGAACCGTCTGCATATAACTGATGGGGCAACCCTGGTTAAATTTTAAAGTTAAACAAAATATATTACTCCAGCTCGCTTACCCAGTAAAGTATCCCTATGACCAGTTCATCTCCTGGGGAGAATATAGCTTAATGCTACCATATTGGTTTCGACAGACTGCAACCAGTACCACCCCCAAAGTACTACTCCCACATGGAGAGGGAGAAATTTCTTACTCAAACAACAAACGTACTACAATTCATCTGGATGGTCTTGAGCCTGTTTATCTTCAATTCCACCTCCACAATATTGTACGCATGGTACCAGACCAATTCCACCCCCACAATACTGTACGCATGGTACCAGACCAATTCCACCTCCACAATACTGCGCGCATGGTACCAGACCAATCCCACCTCCACAATACTGCGCGCATGGTACCAGACCAATCCCACCTCCACAATACTGCGCGCATGGTACCAGACCAATCCCACCTCCACAATACTGTACGCATGGTACCAGACCAATTCCACCTCCACAATACTGTACGCATGGTACCAGACCAATTCCACCTCCACAATACTGTACGCATGGTACCAGACCAATTCCACCTCCACAATACTGTACGCATGGTACCAGACCACCAGGCCTCAGTAACAGTCCACAGATCATCACTTCAAGAAATGCACATATTGCGAGTATACTTGGAACTTGTAAAGCACTCCGCACACGTAAACAAAAATGAAGCCCTTTGCAATAAGCTAAGCAATCTCCTATTTAATATTACATCATGTTTACTATCATTTATTAATTATGATTTATCAACCACTGGCTTTTTCCTTTGGTTTTTACACTTGTCCTTGGACTGTTTTTCATGTACCTTTTCCTGATGTATTACTTTCTATGTTCTTGTATTTATTTGTATTTGTGGGTCAAGGCAAACCAGCCACAAACTCTGCTTTTTGGGATGTGCCTCCATTTCAACCATCATATGTTGTTATATGTAATACTGCATTATTGTACCTTGAGTTGAAATGGAAATAAATGTATTGAAACTACACTAAACTAAACTAAGTCATCTCAACATGGTGAGCACTTTCACGCCTTAATGACCCGATGTCATGCACGGCAGACTTTTGTACCAAAAACCGGTAGTTTCAACCTACCATGAGATTGTACATGCAATTGAGGCGCAGGTGTCTGTTCTCCACGCTGGTATCAGCCACGTTTCGGTAGTCGATCAGTCGTTCTAGCAAACGTTTGACTTTGTCCACAAACTGTTCACCTTCTTCTCTCCAAGGCTGGCTGGCTATACATTCAAGCAAGCTGGAATGAGAGAAGACAGGTACACTTTGGTTACAGAATGCAATGCACAACAAGAGCACTGGCTCAATTTCACAGCACTGCTTGACGCCAGAAAAGTCATGCTACCAGAGAATCACCCAACTGCTCTAGTGCAATTTCAGAATGAAGTAAGAAATTATTGGTACCAATTTCTGGGCTGATTTGAGTACTTTTAAGTACCATTAAGCTAACACTTGGCATTTGAGACTCAACCAGACTGACATTTAAGGAGTTGAGACTTGCAGTTTTGCCAAAAATATGCGGATGAAAGTCTCAAGAGCCTGCTTCTTCAAGCTTTCAAGTGCAAGAAGTATTTAAGTTCTATCAAGACAGAGGAGCGCAAGAAAACTGAGAAAGCAAGAAATCCAGATGCTTCTATTGTGAATTTTGCTGTGTTTTACTTACACTTGATTGAAGAGGACTGTGTAATTTTCATCTCCTTTCTTCTCCACGCACACCATGGTGTCCAGCTTGTCTATAAGATCATCCTCAAGCTGTGAACAAACATCCAAGCTTTCAAGAGTTCATTTGCTCTACATTGAACAGAGCCACTGGAATAAAATTCTGCTTTAATCCTGTGCTAAGTCTCCAAGTAAATTCCCCCAGTAGCTACCCCGTTGGCAAGAGGAAAAAATGATGTTTCACGAAGCACGGATCCGAATACACCTACCTGGTTGAAATTGCCGCGCTCCAGTTTCTCACAGCACATGATGTCGAAAATGATGGGCAGGATAAGGCGACGGATCTCCGCTTGCCTCACCATGGTGACCTCCAGGAAAGGTCGGGTCAGGTCACGAAACAAGCTCTTATAATCTCCTGGGTGACCAAAAGATGATTTATGAATCAAAATGCATTTATTGTGAACAAGCTGAACATTTCTATGTAGTGGTTTTGACAAAGCTCGACTTAGTTTTCAATAAACTTCAGTGCTTCTGGAAAAATTTTGCATTTTCCTTTAAAACTGGAAAAATTGTAACTCTCACTTCAAAAGAAAATAACACGCTCTTTTTGGTAATGCACAAATCTTACATCACCTTTCAACTTATGAAATCTTTTGTAGACCTATGGAAAAATGTTGCATTAGTTGAACTACACCTGAAGACTTCATAGAAAGTTTCCATTCCTAAACATGTTTGCACCATTTTCATATTTTATTTTTGTATTTTAGGCGGCCAAATTTGACAGCACAAACGGTCCTCGAATAAAGTCTAGTACCTAGACTCTGCCACTTGCTGACAATCTCCTGAGCCATATCCACCCTCATGTCTCCGTATCGGCTGATGATTCGGTCTTGTTTAGCTGGCGTCATGGTGTCCAGCTGAAGGCAGGGTTGGGTGATGAAGATACAGGCCAGACGGAAGAAGTCATACCACAGCTGACAACATCAAAAGCCAAAGACAAGACAGGGAGCATAAGAATTAATGGACCTATGAACTGCCAGGTAAGTTTACAGTACCTGCAAAAAAGTGCAAATTAACACATGGAATGAGTCATCATCAATAGAGTTTGGGGTTGGATTGTCATGGGATTATGTCATTAGTTTAAAAGGCAACAGAGTGGTCATTTGATATGGATGAGCAAGTAAGGCTACTGCGGGAGAGCGTAACACATTTCATTCATTTCAAAAGTATAAAAAGGATCATATACATGTAAGCGCAAAAAAAAAAACATGAGTTGGACTTTCTTACAGTATGTCTTATCGTTTTGAACTATGACTTTTTAGCATACTTGGGACATTTTATGAATGGAAACTTCATCTCCTCCCTGTCTGACACCGGGGCTCCACTGGAAGTTTTCATGGACGCGGAGAATTAAATCAAAGGGGAAAAAATGGTACTGACTTCTGCATTAACCTTCAACAAAGGACACATAAACCAAACTTCTTCATATGAAAACTAAAACGTGTGAGGCAAATCTCTGTTTACATTCACAAGAAACTGTGTGACTTATGATTCCATGCACCATCATGTCCCCCCTGATAAGAAAAGTGCAGAAATGGCACTGATATGGGTGGACATGGGGCTGATGTCACTTTACGTCCACATTCGGACCCATTTTGTAGACATACAGCTAAGCTTTCCCTCATGTTCATTCCAGGCTGATTGCATGCAAAGGGGGTGTGACACCTATGCACCCTTCAAGAAACTAACAGACAGTCTGTACAATTTCAACCACAGTTCTTACAATGAGTCTACAGGAAGAACAAAGTACATGCATAATACTATCACCATGACAACTCGCAAGCACAAAAATGTGACAAAGATCATACACCAACTTCATCTGTACATCCACAGATGCACAAAACAAAACAGAAATGAGTGTTTTAAGATTAATCCTTGGTTTCATAAACTATTCCCCAGAATGAACGGTCTCAAGGAGAAGAACAGTTTATTAAAGAGTGTGAAAAAGATGCAAACCACATCCTTGGATACATAACAACTGATCAACTGATTTAGAATAAGAACTACAGTGAAACTATTATAAGAAAGGTGCGTGTTAATCTCTTCGGATATGTTGAGTTTCATAACCACTACTGTGTCAAAGTTATTCATGAAATATTCTCTCTGGACAGCAATCTTAGGGATGCGGTAAGCTGTAATGTTCGAATGTCCCGTACCCATCTCTGAAAGCTGACAATCATACACACCATGAACTAACACATGACTTCACCACAATAAACTGCTACGGAACAATGAATACTTCTGACTGTTCACAAGAGGGAGTGAGTAGTACAAGGTTTGTGTAGCAATCTGTGTGGCAAACGAACAAACCTAGGGGCCTTAGTTGGTGCTTGTTACTTTCGGGTGTTCTGTGAACGTCCACTGTAATTTCTGACTTCTTCAAAATCACTGGATGCAAAGTTAACTACTTTAAAAACGTTTTGGAATGGTTCCAATTTTGTTCATGTCAGATCGTCTCTGACATTTTGATTGTCCTCTTAGCTGGGACAGTTTCTAAGGGAAATGCTGTACAGAAATGGTCACTTGGCTAATTTTCTTGCTTAGTGAAAACCAGATGGGAACCAGTCAAAGTAATATACACTGCATAATGCTTAGCTGATAACCTGCTGCTGCTAAGCAAAGCCAGATTACCAGCCAAAATGTATGTTGAGTGTGACTGGTCCCCAGCAGGCTGTTGCTGAGCAAGTAAATCCGCTAACAATATCCCGTTTACAGCTCTGTACAACTGACCTTTGACCTGCGAGGGGTATTCTATACGGTGTCTTGGGATTGTTAGATAAACCACCACCAATGTCACACATGCAGAGTTCGTGCAGTTTGTGCAAAATTCACGAGGAGAAAACACCATGGACTCAAAGTCACTTACTTCATACCCAACTCTCCTCTCCAGCCAGTTTTCTCCACCAGATAACCGACTGTAATTCTGAATACCGAAAGAGTTTTAGTTCTGTTTAACGGATACATTTCTGAGGTCCTAGATCACTGCTTGAGGTATGTGTGCCATGTATCTTTAAAACTGCCATAAATCAGGTATCCTCTAGGGAAATGCTGATGCATTTCAGAACTTTTTAAGAATTTGTTCAGAACATTTACGGAAAAGGAGAAAATTCTTCAATGTTTTCCGAGTCAACATCTGGAGGCACACGGCATTTTTTATTCAAATTACTACATTTTATGGTGCATCCATTGTAACAGTCTCCTCAACAAAAAGTCTTCACATTAATGTGTGGCATTTGGTCCTAATACCAGGAAGGGGACATTTTCCTGACGTACACGTGTAGAACTCACCTGCACATTGGCACTTTCCGCATTCAGGAATGTGCTGGACAGATCTACGGATACTCGTCTTGTTGCGTTGAGTATCACACTGGAGGAAAACAGGAAAGTAGTGTCAACATTTGACACAGGACGCTAAAGAGAATAGGCCAATGTACTGACACATCACACTCTCACATGTGCACTTTCCTATTCAGTGTGTACCAACCTACATGGTCCAATGAACACCACAGGAAAGCATACATGTAAACAAAGTCTGGCTTCATCAGTACAGAGGTCAATTTATGGTTGGACGTTGAACATTCTCAGGCCGTTTGTGTCCATCCCAACTCTGTGTCCAAGGCCTGATCAGGGCAGACCAACAGTTACACCCACCCAGTTAGGTCTGTCCTATAGACCATGGACACAGCTGGAGCGGTAGGCATAGTTGGCATGTAACAATGCTAATGGTATGTACCATGCAGGCAAGGTGTCGCAACTGAGTACTTTTTGACTACCAAGTTGACTGTCAAATACTGAACAGGTTGGTGTGAACAAGACTGAAGAAAGATGGCTTAAAACCTTTTTTTATGGTAGAATACAACAGTAGATAAAGGTTTTCAGGTATAACGTCTATTAATGAACAGAGTACGCTGTTCAAAATGTCTCTGACTACTGGATTTCCTCAGAACCAGAGTTTTTCAAATATGAGAAACATGGTTGTACCTGAAAACTTTTGTCTACCATAGTTAGAGACCGTGAATATTGGGTGGCAAATGCACAAGGGTAAAATTACAAAATCAATTTATTTGAGACTTCTCACATTCTCAGATTGGTAAAATCAAGTTTTAAGGAGAGAAGAACTTGACAAGTACTCTACTTGAGGACATTTGTTATAGTTTCAGACTATCAAATAATATTGAAATCTTATCATTGTGCATTTACTGTCCAATGCCTCCATTCTACAGGTTCGATAGCACCTAACTCTTTCAATTATTGGCAGTCAACTGGTACTTGACAAGTACTTGACCACACTGTGCAAGACTGAAATCTTAGAGTAAGGGTGAGGGGTGAAGGTCTGAGGTCAAGGGTCTGGAAGTACCACACCAGACTGACAGCTCCCTCCCGTTACCTGCTGGCTAGCATCTTCATAGCCATCCACTCTGTTGGGTAGATCTCCCGGGAAGACAGCTCCTTGAAGACCCTGAGGATCCTCTTGAGGAAGTCCCGATGCCTCTCCCGGTCTCGTAGGCTGGCTTTCAGATCCTGGTAGTGGGATTCCTTCATCAGCCTCAGCAGATCCAGGAGACAGGAGATACACAGAACCTTGCAAGTTAATTGACAGGAGGAGGATCAATGAAAGTATGTGTCATCTTCTGGCACATTCATTCTGGGACACATGTGCGGAACAAGACAGCTTTTCTTATCACAAGTCCTCAAATTTAGTTAACCTCAGTTGTCAAATGAAAATGAACTATTTGGGGCATCAAGCAAAACAGCAGAAATGTTTGAAAAGCCAAATAGGAATATGATAACCGAAAGGTTCTTAACAAAACAAAAGGGAAAAACGAGATCTTTTAGGAGCAATTGAAATTTGGGTGAAATTTCTCAAGAAATAAGTAAAAACATTTTGCAACTTGTCAAACTAAACATTAGCCAGAAATACGCTCTGAGAATTTAATACAAGGTTCAATTGAATGAATATTCAATGGGTTGAATTACTTTGATATCAAGTGTTCTCAGGGTTCCAGATTCCAGTGCCATAGTCAAGTCCTTCACAAGTCCCTATAACAAGTCATTCAGTCTTAAGTCAAGTCACAAGCTATTTAAATGATCTGTGACCAAAGCATTTCTTTCCCATTGCTTGACCTGTTATTCATGACCGGTCCTACGGAAAGACCTGCGACTTGACTCATGAAGGGACTCGTGGACTGGACCGCAACACTGCCTGCTTCGGCGGCACCACACATGGGAAACAAAGACACTTACCACGGTGTTCGTCTTCCTATCCAGCGACATGATCATATTGAGAATGCTTCCAAGAAGCAGCTTCACCATGATGTTGACATCCGCATCTACGGATTCCGACTGAAACATCCAAAAACCAAAACATATCCATATCTGGGAATGCAAAATCACTGTCATAAAAGTGCCGTTAAAGGTTCCAATCTGTACCCTTTTGTAAACACAACCTGTCCATCCTAAGAGTTGGATGCCAATGATTTTTTAAATCCAAACATATATTTTGGACACTTTGCATAACTAAAAACCATCTTTGAAACTGCCAACCACAGGATACCAGTATTTTCTTGTAGAAGCTTGCAATCATGCTGACGATCTAACTCTGGCAATCTATACCCTGTGGAGTTATATCCACTGATGACTCCCCATAAACCTTGCCATCTTTTGAACACCGACTGACCTTTGATATCTTGTAGAGGCTTGCTAGCATGCTACACAAGATGTCCACACACATGCTGCACTCCTCCCTGTTCTCAATGTGCATCCGCAGCTGCTTGACGCAAGGCTCTAGCAGGAACTTCCTCGACACTGGAGGTCAGAGTGACAAGGAGCCAGACGCAAAAAAACAGAAGAGAAGTGTGAAGTCGTCATTCATCATAACACACAATTGTGCCAACCTTTTCAAAGGGATCACATTTCAAATTGCTAATCTTCTTCCCAAAACACATAACATGAATTAATTTTTTTCTGATTACCCGCTGCTACACCTGATTCGAACCAGCCATCTGACACCGACAAGCTCGGTGGTTGAGTGGTTAAGACGTCTGCACTAGTAAGCAGGAGGTCATGGGTTCGAGTCCCACCCAAGTACACTTGTGGTTTTTTCCACAAGCCTTCGGGGGCGTACACTGAGTACACAGTGTTTAAAAAAAATGCATGTTGGGCAGGGCAAAAATCTGAAAAAATATCAGACATATGGAGCTTGAACTCCTGCTCAAGCAACCAGTGTCAGAGTTGACCAGAACAGAAATTTTGCAAAGCAAAAAAACACTGGTTACCAGCCAATTTGCCATGGTGTATACATTTATTTCAGCTGGTTCCCAGCAGACCTCTCTATCTGCTTACACAATATACCCACTAAGCAATCTTTTCTGAGAACAGTGTTGGATTTTTATGAAGATGCTTTCTGAACCCTCAAAAATCCAATGCTGTCCAGTCTCAATACGAACGGTATATTCTTTGCCTGCATCAAGACTTGTGCAAATACACGGTGGCTCGCCTGTACATTGCTCACAAAGTACAGCTGTTGGTTTTACAGGGTAGAGTCATGGTGCCAAGGATTACGAATAAAAATCAATACAATCCTTGCATCATTAAACACTGTGCTCTTTAACTCTAAAAGCGACACATTTTCAGGATCATCTCTGAGATGCTGTGGATGGAGCTCACTTGATTCCTTGAAGAGGTTGCTGTTGATGGTCTCGGACAGGAAGGCGAGCTTAGCTCTCAGGACCTCTGTGGGTAAGTCTTTGACAGGCATGTGCTCCAGGAGGTCAATGATGAACTGGCTGACTTCTGGTGAGGTGTACATGACCCTCAGCTCTGTGGAGATGTGGCTGAAGTTCTTCAGCAAAATTAACTGGAAGGAAAGAAGGAAGGCTGAACAGTAAATCAAACGAGGAGTGCTGGAATGGAAGATCCTATAAAATTTTTTGGCTTATAAGTACATATACTATGCAAAGTTGCTGGACAGTTTCTTCCGTGTTTCAGCTCCAAGACAGTTGGTACATGGTGAAATTCAATGAAATTCAAGTAGCCATGGTGGTTTGAGTGGGATGGGGGTCCAGGAATGATGGAATGGGGGGGGGGAGGGTGATGCAGTGATCTTGCGGGGTGGGGAGTGGTAGAAAATTACCTGGTGTAGATGGAGCTTATCTTCAGTGTGCGTCATCAACTTGTTCATGGAGCCAAACAGACATCGCATGCTGTCCTGAATGTTACCATCATGCAAATCACCCGTTGCCCTGGTAACCAGATTGAGTGATGGAATGATGAAAGTTTGAGTGCCTGACCAGAAAAGCCGCTCCAGGTTTCATTCTGCTGTCTCCACCACTTGCAAACAAGCCCTTTGTCATGATTTCATATACCATGCCCTGCCCCAAACTCCAAGCAAATCAGGCTATGACATGAATTGTTCACACCATGATGTGTTCACTGCATTAATCACACGTGGAATGAAAAAAGACCAAACGGGTAAGATTTCTGACGAATCTTACAATATCACACAGATCTCTTTTTCCTATTCCAAATTTCTCTCTTAACTTTCCTTCAGGGTGGGTCTTAGCTACAATGCTCTGATTACAGTCACACGTGTGAACAATTCTCTCTGGTGAATGGCTGTGGTTCTGAATATGAACCGGATGCTTCACTTGACATTTCAAATAGTGTGCTCTGTTGGGCTTCAGGAGAGAAAGAGACTCGAGTGAAACCTCTGGTCCGTTTTTAAGAACCCCACACATGCATACAAGAGAATAGACATTTATGATGATGCTGCTGGTGGTCTTGTTCCCTAAAGACCCATTTGCAATAGTGAGCCAACTTCATATATTGAAAAAAGGGAATACACTGTCTTCCCTTTTAGCCTTAGTCTGGTAACATTGCTTTCAATGGTAGAAAGCCAGATGGCTGCCCCATGATAGAGGTCTATTGTTCGCAAGGTGTTACCACAAACCTTCTTGTATTTGGTACTTCCACCGTGCACGGCCTCAAGTCTTACAGTTTCTTCTATTTTTAGATTAGCTCAGAAAATTTGCTTAATCCGTATTCATTCATTAATCTTACTTCTGGTACAAGACGTGGGACCTAAAGATGAACTTGAAGAGGTTCTGCACAGCCTTGAGGGTGCTGACTACAATTTCTGCCTTCTCAATCATGGAATTATCGATGTAGCGCTTCAGTTGCTTCACCAAAAACCTGAGGCAGATAAAGATGGTCGGTGAAGAAACAACTTGAGCAAAAGGAAGATCTGGATCTGATTTGATGGGGATATTAACAAACGTCTGAAACCTTGTCCATTTTTTGTATGATTGCTCGTTGTTTCCATGGTTACCTGTGAGCTTGGGTGCTGGCAAAGAAGTTCTCAATGTAGGTGTCTAAGACGGTAGTAAAAGACTTGAATCTGGTATCGCCAAGAATGCCTAAGATGTAGACCAAGGCATCGAAGACATCCTTCTCAAAGTCTTCGGCTCTCTCATCCAGGATGTTAAACAGTGCATCCAAAATGTCTTGAAGAACCTGGCAAATTTGAACAATGTTTAACCACTTTTTTTCTCCCTTATCTAATATTTTTTATTTCCAATATTGTTGATTTACAGAAAGGAAACCACAAAAATGTTCTAAAACGGCTAAGCAGGCAAGCCTGGGAAGAACAATGATGAAACATTTGAGTGTACGTATAAAAGTACATTCAAGACAACTACATTTTTAAAAATTGAAAGAATGCACTGGCAATGCTGTAAAAAATCGAATAAACCCTCGGCAGATTGGAAAACAATGGTATTTGTCATGGTTGTGTTCAATTTCTCACCTCACCAGAATTAGAAATAGCCAAATTAAGACACACCTGTGCATACCTCACTTGGAAAAGAGGGCACGCTGTACAGGTGCAGGGTAAAGTTGCAGCCAAGAGTATAAAATGCTCTTTTTTGTTCCTTAATACATGTGCTTCTTTTTATTGAACACTGAATAGTACAGAGAATTTATACGGGTTCAACTCTCTGCTTGGACGAGTAAGGTGGACTGCGACACTGAGTACTCACCCTTACAATCTCCTGCCCTCCTACTTTGGTGATGCTGTGGAGAATCTCCTTGAGGTTCTCAGGATGCATCTTCCATTTTAGCAGGCCCAGGAGGAAGACTGAAAGGAAATGACCACTCAGCACAGTCAGGTATCAGATTCAGAGATTGATCAGGGGTATGGCTATTCCTTACAGCTTCCTGACTTGACCGCTTGCCAATCTCCTTCCAAAGCACTGTGCATTATTTTCTTTTTCATTTTCAACATTTTCAGGACCATGCAAAACATACTCTGAGAAAAAAGGGGTCGGGGACTTAAACTCTAACTTTTCTGCTGGTAATTTTCACCATCCTTCCATAATGAAAAACCACTGCTTCTGGTTTGGATAAATATATCCACTTCTTGAAACACAGTGGGTGTTTCACCTCTGCTCTGTGACCATAACAGTGCTTGATAGCCTTCTGTGATCGACTGTGACCATAACAGTGCTTGATAGCCTTCTGTGATCGACTGTGACCATAACAGTGCTTGATAGCCTTCTGTGATCGACTGTGACCATAACAGTGCTTGATAGCCTTCTGTGATCGACTGGCAATATTACTTTCAGATTCACCTGTAAATGGAAAACGACCGGTTATCAACCACAGAGTAGAGTGCATACTGAGATTGGCTTTATTGCAACTGAATGTCACCGACCAAGTAAATATCTAGGGCTAAAATTTACCGGTTTACATCCCGAACAGTACCGTGAGTTGAGAATATCAAGCAGCCAATCAAAGTCCACATCAAAATCAGGGCTGAGTGACCATCATTCAATAAAAATTGACTTCATTTGCATATGAATTAGGCTCTCTACCAGATGCAACTATGAACACACAAACAGCACTCGGCCATTCTCAAGGGCAATTCTGTCAGCCATTGCCCTTAGAAGTGACCCATCTCACCATTCTGTCCAATTTTTGGCATCATTTTTACTATTTATAAATTTATGTAGTCCATGTTTCTGCAGAGAAAACTCTAAGAAAGGGATGGTTCAATCATTTAGACATGAGCTGCAACTTCAAGAAGATCTACAAAGGACATGAAGATATTTGCAGGCAACTTGGACTTTAACAAAAAAAGGGGAAATTCCAGTCTTTACAGGACTTTGCAGAGTGTTTTTGATTTTCAATGACACAGGTGTGAAGTGAAAAAAACGAGGAAATCAGCTGATCCCAGGACACTTTACGTGCCTGTATTTGCAAAAGACTGATCAACTTCTTGACAAATTACAGGTGTTTACTTTATGTACTTCAATTAAATGTGGAGGAAAACTTTGTGCCTGACAAAGAATATTACTCGCAGAATCAGAGTGGCAACTTCTTTGCATAGATCTCCTAAAACTGAAAATGGACAGGTAATAAATCTCTTAGAACGTTAACCACTAAGCCAGCTATATTCTGCTCTTGGTACAGCGTGCCTTCAATGCTGCTACTCTAGAAAACATTTTCATGAAGCAACTTCGGATGTGTTTTGTGCTTGTGACAATAAACTGGAATAGAACCAACGGCCAAAGCTGCCCTCAAAAAATGAAACGGAAACAAAAAATGGAACTGAGACAGTTATCAGTTTTAATACCTAAAAGTATACAGTCAATATTAAGGAGCCAATGGGAGACCTTGACAATGCAAGGACTGGCCAATCATTGATTATCTTCATCCACATGACTTCATTTGCATATGAATGAGCCACACCCAGTCTATTTTATTCCAAGCATGATGCTGCCCATCTAGGCTACACAGAGCAATTCACAGTAGCAACGACACCAGCATTGTCTTTGAAAGAGTACAGCATTTCTAACTTTATTCAAATTGTGCAGAAAAGGGTCCACTTTCTTGGAGTGAAAAACTCTTGTGAAAGAGACTACAAGTCTGAATCGAACTATGAATTCAACAGAATCTAATAAGGATCTGCAGACATTTAACGCCTCTACAACACCGATGACTGAGTTTCTAATCCAGAACAACTTCATCCGATGCATCACGCTGGTCTTAACCACAATCTTACTTCTGACGCTCAACCCACTTTGTCTTCTGGTTCTGAGGCATGTTGACAGCATCCTGGAAACGACGTAAGTATTTCTCCAATCTATGACGATTGGGCTCCTGAGAGCTGTTCCAATGACAGTGTTGGCAATTTCCGAGACTGAGAATGTCAGCAACCCATTTTGCATAGTGCTGTCAGTTACTGAGAGCATTCTTCTCCTCAGCTCACCAACGTCACTACTGTTGACAGGGGATCATTACATTTCAGTGGTTCATGCACTTCACTACTCTTCTCTTACGACTGTGAAGCGGGCAAGAATTGCTATCGTTTGTGCATTGGCAATGAACGTACTAATAGTAATTTCATGTGGCTTTGTATCAGGTTGGACAACAAAGTACGGCAAAAATACACTGACGTGCATGTTGTTTACTGAATATGCCGGTGTGGTTGGACAGGTCTTGCATATCCTCATAGCAGTTGGTACTTTGTTCTTTATTCTTGCAACGTTTGCATGGCTTATCTTGATTTCGCACTACCATGCAAGACGCATCCACGCTGAAAATCAAAATGTTCAACCAAGAAATTCTCCAGAGCGGCCAAATAACAAAACCGTGAAAACTATTCTTCTTCTAGTTTTGACAGCAGTTTTCTTCAGCCTCTTACCACTGATTAGTCCCACAGCTAGCTCTTTTTTCCAGCAATCACCATCAGCCAATTATACTTCTGTTGACATACATTTTACCTAGCCTGACTAACGGTTGGCTCAATGTGGTCATCTATTACCTCCGAAACAAAGATTTCCGCCGTGTCACCCACAACGTCGTGATATTGTGCTACCGATCCATTAAACGCTGCATGCCATTTACTGCTAGCTAATGGAACATTCCATTTAACAGCGGTGATTGTCAATATTTGTGTTTGTAACACATCCTTATTGACCACTTGATATTATTTTTGGCTGAACGTTTTGATTTTCAGAAAATGCCAGATGTAGAGGCCCACTTTCAAGATACAGCCGAGTGCCATGACACACTAATTCTCAAGAGACGTTTGAACAGCATTTCTTTGACTTTTCTTACTGCGACCTCACAGTGCTTAATTCTCTGGGACATGCCCCTCGAGAGACATTTGCAACCACAAGAGGCCATGTGCAATGGCTGAGTTCAAATTCAGCGCATTGTCCACCTCTGCAGATTTCTATGGCTTTGTATTGGATTACAGAGGATTATCTTAATGTACATGTACGTGTAATTAACTGTCAGCTGGACTAAGGCCGTGTCCGAAACGGGCTTCCAGAGCTACGGCTAGGTCTATTGTCTACGCGTCTCCACGCATTTCCGATGGAGCGAAGACCTAGACCTAGCTCGAGACAAGAGATTCGGATGCAGCCCGAATCTCTTCCTAAGCTGATTCTGAGATTTTAGCCCATTAGCAGTGCCTGTGTATGCAGATGGTCTGATCATGTTTACTCGTGGTGTGTTGTGCATGACAACCTCAGCTTTCCCTTGGATGCCACTTAGGTGTACAAATCCAGAGACGCTGTAGTAAAAGGCAGCAATTGTACTGATAATGCCCACCTGTCTGGATGGACTCAACTCAGTGGTACAGGTGCAAGAGCAACACCAGATCAGTTTTGAAATAATGTGGTGAGACATATTTGTTTCTGATCTCCTCTGAATGAGTTCCAAAGATGAGGGATTCAGCTGGATCAAGTGTTGTCTCTACAACAGTTTGGGTGTAAAGAAGAGAGTATAATTGACGGGTCTCAGACATAATCTTACAGCACAGAACATACGGTAGGAGGCTTTTGTAAAGGTTGACAAATGCTTGAGACTTCACAAATTCCAAATTGCAATGGCATGCATGTATATGGGGAAAAAAACACAAGGAGATCGGCTAACGGAAGGAGAGGCTTCGTGTACACGGTTCCTAACTATTCGTAAGAATCGCTCAGTTTGCAGTTTCCTTCAACAAGGTGGCACAAAACACGATAGTGGGGGCCATCATCACATTAGCAGTGTTACCCAGATGATTTCAGATTGTCACCATGCCCTGAGCACTCCACAATCTGTTCTTTGTGTGTATCAGTACGGAAGCTGTGACTCGATTGTGACCAGAGAGCTTGCATACTTATTCAAATGTGTAAAACATTTTTCTGGGTGTTGAAATACTTGCAGAAATTTATAACCATTGGGAAAAAACACTCCTGACATGACAGGTCTCCTTTTTGTGTCATATTCGAGAATTGTGAGTATTCAACCATTACCATTTTGCGTGAGCTTGGTAGAGCAGATGATAGTTCTGACAAACAGCGACTCCTTCATGTTCCTGCTGTACGTGCCAGTGCCAAAGACGGGGGAAGCCTTGGTGACAATCTCCTGAGTGCAGAATGGCAGGTTTAGATAGGACAGGTCGTGGAACTCCTGGTTCTCCGCACACTGCAAAGTGTAAAAGCAGAACAAGTGGGTAGAACGTCGTCAAGTCAAGTCCAAACTTCTCCAACTGGACTATGACATCATGGTTCCCCTGTTATAATTAATTCAATGTCATGTCACTCCTTGCGATCTCAGCTCTAACCAATTCCAGTCCTTGAGTCCCCTCCAAGCATTCCTTCATAACTACTTAATCTGCAACTTACAAATGGCCTTCTGAAAGGACTTGTGGTGGTCTGGATTACATGGATAACACTCCATGTAACCTGGGTTATGGTTGCCTGTTTTACAATCAACACCCCCGGAGAGTCAGGACAATATTGTGTGCGCATCACACAGTGTAAAGGGTAAAAATTTCCCCCTACGTTATCGTGCCATAACCAAGTGATAACGAGTACACCCACGGCTGATTGAGAGGATACCCTCTCGCTCACCGTCATACTCCAGCTGTTTGCACACTCAGGAATAATACTCGTGGTGAGCTCACAATCGAATGCAGCCATAACTTGCAATAGGGCTTTTTATCTCGCCAGTAACCTCACTTAGTACCTGTGACCCGACACACGACCTGATGTGTAACTCAAACTTATGACCTATGACCTGTGACATCATCGTATGTGATCTGATGTTCGACCTGACATATAACCAAACCTGGGACTTGACCTTGTAAAGCATACCCATGCTGACTAGAGTGCCAAATATTAAAAATCTTTTCTGTTCTGAATGATTGGTTTTTAAATTTGCAAGTCAAATTCAGTCAGAGCTGAAGACACAAATCAGATGAGTCGTAAAACCATTTCCTCTTTGAATTTTTTACATAAACCCATTTAACCACTTTCATAATTTGTATTACTATCAATCTATCACGATGAATCAAACCTACAACCAATTCTAAATTCCATTTTATTATTTCAGGCACAAAAAAGCTGAATCTACCGTGATAAGCACATCCCTCTTCCCACAGGTAACTCAGTGAGGTGAAACTTCATGATAAAGTACCCTGCCCAAGGACATTAGCATCAGAACCCAAGAAGCTGGATTCAGATCCCCAATTACCTTGTACACAAAAACACAGGTACCTAAGTGAAGTGAAACTTCATGATGAAGTATTCTGCCCAAGGACATTAGCATCAGTGCCCAAGAAGCTTGACTCAGATCCACAATTACCTTGTACACAAAAAACAGGTAACTCAGTGAGGTGAAACTTCATGATAAGGTACCCTGCCCAAGGACATTAGCATCAGAACCCAAGAAACTGGACTCAGATCCCCAATTACCTTGTACACAAACAGTTCATGCTCACTGTCCTCCAGAGTAGTTCCATCGTCCTTCATGAGTCTCATGAACGCCATGGCAAACAGGCTCCGATCCCCCCTACTGGTAGAACAATGGCGACATTCTAGCCGAATGTGGGTGTCCTTGAACTTCTCCATGGGAATGCTGAGACGGATGTTCTCCAACCAGTGGGGTTGGTTGGTGTGGTAATAGATAGTGGATCGGTACTCGTCTGTGTCACTTTCATCACCTCCCAACCAGATGCATTTCTGTAATTTGGATAACCAGCAAAGTAACAAGTGTCAAGTTTCATTTGCCTTCTCAGTAGATCCTCGAATCTGTGTAAAAGTACCACCTTGATAAGAAAAACAAGAGGGGTCAGGCTGATAGTGGGTGAACACGGAGATCAATGCCGCTCAGCAAAGTGGACGTGGCTTGAGATTCTGAAAAGGACCCTTAAATTCAACATCCATAGTCAAGAGACCATGATTTTATTGCTTTGGCCACTGCGCATACCTTTAAACCATGTGTACGGATTGAAAAACACAAAAACAAGTGTAGTGTGACCCCACAAGATAGTAATCTTCAGAGCTACATTAAAAAGTTGTCCAGTCTCATTAACAAAACAAAATCAATGTCCACATTTTTGGTAATAGTCCAATAGTCCGTTTTGGGTCAGGTGACCACTGGCGCTTACCATCTTCTTGTTATAGCCATCTATAACGTGTATGGTTACTTCAACATTCCTGCTGGCCGTCTTCCGCCCCCTTTCAAACTCCGCCCTGTCCAGCATCAAATATAGGTCATTCCTCACATCGCCTGGAAACACAACATGATCCACAAAAGTTGAGCAATCAAGCATAGAGCTAAAAATCAGAAATAAAAACATTTTTGAAATTATCAGGTATGCTTGCACTTGTTTTGGACAGGTTTCACTCCCGGAATACAACCCCTCATTGACTGGATTTTGTCTGAGTACTTTTTCTCATTATTTTAAAAATAAATGAATGAATTCCAAACAACTGTGATCTACTCAGTTCTCTCCTCCCAATCATGTAGAATTGGTCAATTAAATTCCATCGTGGGAAAAGTTTTCAAAGTCTTAAAAATAGCCATGTTGATAAAAAAAAATTGCTTTTAACATCCCTTGACTAAGATATCACAAACCAGACACTTGCAATCAAATTTGATACAAGTAAACATACTGAAAAAAGTATATGGGTCATTCCATGAAGTTCGGGCAGAGTTTGTGACGGCGTCCTTTGTTACATCGGTAACTTTTATTGCCGTTAATTTTCACATTACAACAGATTAAGTCATCATTATTCAGCAAAGATGAAGCCCATCACTACAAGAACCTAGCAAGATTTAGAACAATGTCAATTTAGAATCCACATGCAGGGAAAAAAGATGTTTATTTTCACTGATGTAACAAGGGACGCCGTCACAAACTGTACCCGAACTTCGTGGAATGACCCATATCCCAAAAGTGCATGTAGGTTATGATAGAAAGACTACTTGTGTTCATTGTCTCCTAATGTGAGCTCCTACCCGGCATGATGACATCAGAGAATCCCAGCTTGCGCGTAGTGGGGACTCCTTTACTAAAAAGCAGCGGCATCTCGCGCTTGAGCTGGTCAAAGTGGCCGTGCAGCATGCGCACTGCCAGCGAGATGCCGATGTTGGTGGTGCTGGTCGAGCCCGTCTTGTTGGCATGCTTGCGGATGATGTTCTCATGTAACTGGAAGAACTCAGCTTCCGAGGATCCTTGGCTGTTGTTGAAAGATAATCAAAATGAAGACGGCAAAGTTTACAGGTCAATTCTACGAATGAATTGACAGATGTCAAACGGGGGCAGGATTTCCAGTTTTGTCTTTTAGAATAAATCCTTACTCCAAATGCATTCCGGCTCAAAACTTCCTACAGCTATAAAAAAAAAAACCAATGAAACATTGAACATTTACTCAGTACAACATTCTTTCACATGAATCTAAACATAAAATAAAGGCAAATCATTTCACAGTTATGCAATGTTTCAGAAAAACAACATTGTTACACCGGTACACACGACTACACTTATTTTGTGTATATTTTCTGGACACTCTTCCTTCAAAGACCCTAAATTATACTCTCTGTTTGGGGAATTTGCATCGGAATATGATTCAGGCCAGCATTACGGAAACAAACAAACGACAAGGACAAACTCTTTTACTTACAAAATCTTCATGACGGTGTCCTTTGTTGTGGACTGGTCATCAATCTTTTCGGACAGAATGGGCGACAAACTGATGACTATATAAAACAAGAGGAGAAATGGGGCCAATGATTGACAGGATAAGAGAATAGATGGATCCAGTAAGCCCCGCCCACTGCAGGCATTGGACTTTTTCCCATATAAGGCCGGGTGCATGCGCATAACCACCACTGGTTGGCAAAGTTGCTTAGATCAATGACATAACAATACAAAGCTCTGTGCGCGTAGCTACGAGCACATACAAGCCGTTTCTGTACAAGTATAGTTTGACACGATTGCCAAACTAACGACAAAGAACTGTTACTTTCCAAACGCAGGGCACTAAAAACTTCACTTAGTTTCGAGAAAAGCATGCTGAAATATCGGACAAAGGCTGTAATACGGTTTGGATTGATCTTCAACGTGCCAGGTTATGGTTAGAGCAGCTCCCCTACCACGCCAACAGTGTTGACGGCCGCACTTGCCAACCAATGGTAGTAGCGCACGTCTAATTTGCATATTTTGTGGGAAAGGCCCATTAACGCATGCTTTTTTACAATGCACGTTCAAACACACGTGCCATACGTACATGAACTCATGATGGGTTTTTTGTACACGCATGTCAGCATAAATACTGGTCTAACAGCACAAGTTTCTTCATAGTTACCATGGTTACTTCAGACAAAAATGTCAGACTCCATGGTACATTAAGAGGGCCTCAATAGGCTAATTGGAGGAGAGGCTACCACTCTTGCATGCCTTCTTCAACCTGAGACAAGCAGGCATATTCACCCTATAATAGATTAGTTGAAGGTACATATCATGCTGCATGTACCACCTGCTCAAGAACGTGGTGTTTTCAGAGTGATGGCTTCCTATTATGGTCACCAAACAATTTGTTGAAAAAGGAATGTAGCAAGAGAAACGCTGCGTCTGAATTAACTATGTTGTGGCTATGGCTTTGAATACTGCAATTGGACTGTTACAGTGCATAGCAGTAGCCGTTGGCTACAATTTATGTCTCATTCACAGACTTACTCCATTCCTGCAATATTCTGAACGGGGCATTATCAGTCTCTGCCCATGCCCGCAATCACCGCCAGCCTCTCGGTACATTCTCAACTTACCGCCGCACCCGTAAGGTCTCCTGAAGTTGGAAGCGTGCTTCTTGTTGGTTGGTACCATGGCTCCAACTCTGATAATGTGGCAGGTCAGATATAAGTCCCGGCCCAAGTCCTTGGTGCTTAGATCCTGAAGAAACATGGATCAGCAAGAAACAAATTTATAGAACTTCACTAGCACAAGGAATTTGGCAGAAAAAGAATTTCAACCTGGTACTAATAGCTAATTGTATCAGTGCTCAGCCTAATCATTTATTTATTCATAGCCAGTTAACGTCGGATATTTTTTATCAAAAAAGCTGCTGGGGGGGGTTTCCCTACAATTTTTTCGAAATTGCAATTATTTATGACGCAGCCAATCACGACACATTACTACGTCAACCGCGGAAATGAAAAACAAAGTCTTAAAAGAGTGTACACGTCCTCCGTGGAACAAATAAGGAAAAGTGTGTTTGTTTACACGTCATCCTGCGTCAAGTGGTTAAAGGTACCTGACTTCCCCATTTGTCAAATGTCTCCACCTTTGTGCAGCTGTTTTGGGCAGCTGTGAATTTATAACAAGGGAGGACAACTTTCTTCTTTCCTATGTCTGTAAGTAAACAGCTTTATCCACACCAATCCATCTTCAAATTGGGCCGTTATCTTGGTACATGGAAAGCATGTGAAAGTACAGTGTACTTAAGTGATTATGGCCATAATTTGAAAACCAAGTAAAGAGAGCCTTGGATTGCCCACCAATCCCGAAACAGTTGGATACCACCCAATTCAACAGTTTCTAATTTGTACGACAGATTCAGGCAACAAGATTAAAAATGGCTTCCTCATGAATAAGGTTTAGTATAAAATCATAACTTACACAGAATATGGTGCACAAGTTGCCAATCTTGTCAATGTTGTCTGGTACACCCAGCCTGTTGAACTTGGCAAGATATCGTTCGCTGGAAACAAGAGACAAGAAGCAGTCAAACCACATCAACATGGAAGCAGAGTTACTGGAAATACATCAACTTTGCTATGTCTCAATATTCAGATTTTTACAGGCAATATCCCAAAACTAAATGTGGTAATACATGTAAGATCAACTGGAGTTATGAAGGGAACTGGTTGACTTAAAGAGCACCTCTGAGTAAAACACTTTTTCTCAGATTTTGTCTGTTCCAATAAATACAGAAGCATCCAAATCGAACGAAGTGTCATTTGTCATCAGAGCTCAACTATAACAGGCTTAAAAGGGCTTTTTTTCTGTTCATGCCAAGGTGCGAATTCTGAATGTAGACTGCGTCATTCAGAGAAAACGGAGAAAACGAGAGGAACCCTCACCCTATGTTCATAGTGGATATACCCCCTGTGCATGCCAGACAATGGCTAGCTGTGAACACAGGGCAAGGGCTCATTCAGAATTTGCATCTTGGCATGAACAGAAAAAAAGCCTTTTTAAGCTTGTTATAGTTGAGCTCTGAAGACAACTGACACTGCATTCGATTTGGATCTTATCTGAACAGATAAAAATCAGAGAAAAGAAGTTTTCCTTACAGGTTCTCTTTCAAGTTTTGGACAATAATACTCTGATCATCAGGAGAACGCCTCACTCACAAAAAGACAGACGGTGTTACCACAAACCTTCATCTCATTATTGGCTCTCAGGTTTGGGACAAGCTTATCTCACCTGATAAAGTGGTTGCTTTTGGCGTCGTACAGCGCAAAGAATGCCTGGGCCTCCTCCCCGATGCTACAGCCAAAGTTTTTGAGTTGTAAGTGGATATGATGGATGTGGTGGGAAAAGGATGATATCCCCTCTAAGGGTTTGCCTTGGATCTGCAAAATCGATCACAGGTCAACGATTTGAAATCTTTTCCCTGCGTCTCTCATTCACAACTAGTATCTTCTAAACACAGCACAGCCACAATGTTCAAACAACAAAATTAAATGGGAAAATATCCACTCCAATTAGTGCTTTTGTGGTCAAACAAAATCTGATGTAATAAGAAAGCAGGCAGCAAACTTAAATAATGAGTGTCGATCAAAAGATGCAAATATACAAATGACATAATCCAAGCTTAACTGAAGCAAAAATTAATGCCATATAGGAGCAGGGCAACAGAATAAAGGCAGCAAATGAAATACTGCATTGAAGCACAGGAAAATATTCAAAGACAGGATCTGTCTTGGAGTCTGTGCACTGAACAGCCACTTTGCAAAGAAAACAGCATTCACAGTCAGCAACATAAGATTCCAGGCAAACATGGCCCCAGGGTGATAGTTGCAATGAATCCAGCATTCACAGTCAGCAACATAAGACTCCAGGCAAACATGGCCTCAGGGTGATAGTTGCCCGGTATTAGTATAAGAAAATGGTGTCTGGAGATTGCCATGGATATCTGATTATGGTGAGGGAGGGTTGATTTTCTCAGTGTTTCTGATATTTCAAAATCACACTTCTTAACCTGCACTTGTTTAATTTTCCATTTTTTCAACACTTGATTTTCATACTTTCTCTTCTTCTGAAATCTCAAAAATTCTATTTCTGATAAATAGATGCAAAACTATAACAGAAGAAATTTGACTTTTCTAGCCCCAAATTTTCTGCTTCAACACCTACTGTCTTTCATAGGAAACCACAAGCAGTAAACGTGACAAACTTGTGCTAACTTTGAAGGCTAAATTGGAATGAATTGTAGCAAAACAACAGAAAAATCTGCGTGCATGCAAACAGCGGCATGTCAACGCCACTGCCTATCATTAAGATCGGCACAGTTTTTGTAGGATTTCAGCCATGATGTGGTCCTGTGAAGAGTTTTGGAAGCTGATAGAATAAGCATGATATTAAGGCTTAAGATTTGATGCAAAAGCTTGCTGGAGTTCCAGACACACCTGGGCGGGAGGTGCTATGTCTTTGGCAGATGAGGTAACCTGCAGACCTCCTGCATCCACAAACTGCTACATTAGGTCAACACACAGACACAGAGAGAGAGAGAGACATCATGGCACACTCACAGAGAAACAGGGGAGACCAAACAGGTTGAGACAGCAATCGACCAACGGGTAAACACAAAAGACTTATAAACGCAGAGGGCAAGTGAGGTACATGTAAAATCAAATGCGTTTGTGAGGGCCATTCCGATCATCTTTGGATTCCAAGTTCTCCCCCCCTGAAAATTACCAACTTATTGTCCATTTTCCACAAGGGCAAATTTCATGCATCTGCCATATGTACAGAGATTTGCTAAGAGCTGGAAACTCTAGTTTTGCATAAAAGGCTAACAGACAACAGGTAACCTGCTTGGTAGACTGTTTTCAGGTTTACTTTCTAAGCAGGGCCCATCACTTTCATGGCAATGAGTTGGGCATAGTTTTCCATAGTTTTCTTTTCTACTTTGGTAAGAGTTCACACAGAACAAGGAGCACTCAAACCCCAACGACTGGATTTGCTTGTAGTTGTGATGCCAATCTGCAAGAGTGGACTAGAAGCCACTTTTTTACAGAGTTGACATAAATTTTGAGTGAATGTATTCTGCTGCAGCCATTTGAACTTTCTGCTGGATGACAAACAACACCGTGAAATTTACAGTCACAATTTCTTCAGAGGACTCTTAGAATTTTTACTGATAATTTCAAAGGTTGAAATCTCCTTGCATTGACAAACTAACATATAGCTGAAAGTACACAAACTAACTGTTAGAATTGAACTGTAATTTTTTTTTTTACTTCTTTGGACGGATGAATGGAATAGCCCACAAACAGAAAGTGTACAAAATATCTTCCAACCGTATCCATTCCCTCTAACCCCCCCCCCAAAAATCATGTCATAAAACAACCAACAAAATAACTCTTTTCATTGTTATCAGGAATTCTTATTCTCAGTACAACACTGGACAATATGCTACACCCAGACCCACTCAGGAAAACAACCCAAATTCGAAGACATTAATTTTTTTTCAAACGAAGATAACTTGTTTTTTGCTCAAACATGCAAAGTCACTCAAGTCCTTAAACCCTCCCAAGTCACTATCCTGTGTAGACATTGATAACATGAAGTTGCTTTGCTTAAGCTGCATCTGAATCTCTTGTCTAGAGCTAGGTCTAGGTCTTCGCTCCATTGGAAATGTGTGGAGACGCGCAGACAATAGACCTAGCCGTAGCTCTGGAAGCCCGTTTCAGACACGGCCTTACAGACAATAATTGTTAGAAGTTGAAGTTTTAGCAAATCGTTAATTCACCCGAAAACCAGTAGTTAACAGACGAAAGTTATCTAAGACAAGATGTGAGGCACATAATTAAAGTCCTTCTCATCGTCAATCACAGTTACTTTCATTCTACTTACCTGTGCTGTCTGCTCGACACTCCTGAAATGCTGCAAAAAAACCAAACATTTCCACTTTAAATTCCCATCACGACGACTTGAAGAAAGTGAATAAATGAATGAATGGAGTCCAAAACTTGAATTGTGTACCACAATTTTGTCTGATTCGCAAACTACAAGATTTAAAGGTACCAAGATTTCTAAGGAGCAGTGTTTCCTTTCACCCTATCAAAAGTCATTTGATTCTAATGTGAGCAAGATTTAGTATAACTACACGTATCACAGGCATAAACACCAAATAGCATGAATTCAGAAACTAATGTTGAATGTCTCTGCCACCATGGCTAACTATAGAAACTCTGATTAATCTATTATGCCAAGGACAACAATATTTAACTTATTTAACTTATTAGTTACTCTTAAACTTGCTAAAGTTTTCCCATTACAAAAAATATCCAATAGCAACAGTACTGTAGTCCAATCCATCACAAGTCTAGGAACAAAACCAGTTGTAATTAACGCTGCAAACAATGACAACAGAATGTTTCATCACAGTTTACCTTAACCACTTTAATAAATTCAGACTTGAGGTGCAAACGAATGACTTGTAATGGACTTGAAGGACTTGCCATGGGGCTCAACCACAACTTAAAAAAAAACAATATTCTAGACTCAACCCAGCAAAACTGACCACATCATGCAATTCCACAATGCTGGTGTTGGTGGTGTCCACGATCTTCCCCTCCACGGACGGCACCAGGTCTAGGTTCAGCTGCTGGTTGCCCCAGTCCATCCTCTTGGCAATCTGTATCCGAACCTCCCTGGCTGGCTCCTGGGGCAGCTGACCTGACATCAGCTGCCGTCGTAGGTCGATAAGCTCCAGCATAACCTTCCGTACCTCCTTGAACAGCCATATGGTATATTTCTTGGGGCAAGATGAATTAATATCAAAGTTACTAGAGAATACGACAAGCATTTTATTCAGTCGCCTTAGAGTTTCACATTGTTACACCTTTTCATTAGTCACTAAAATCAGTCCTTGATTGGTGCACCTGTTCATTAGTCCATGAAATCACTTAAATGCAGTAGCTTCAAATTAATGCAATCTATTCTTTACTCTCCCGGGAGCCCCTACGTACTCCTGGGTGTAGAGAGGCAATTACAGTCACATGTCTTGCCCAAGAACACAAGGACGATGATCCCCATCCGGTTTCAAACCCACGCAACCATCAACCAATATGTAATGGACCGTCATGCTTTGCCTCATACATGTGGTAACCATTACAACTGTATCAGTGTGCTTATGAACCACATTGGTTGCAGTGTGACTGCATGAGACTAGTTTATAAATTCAATGATGTGATTAAAATTCAAAGTAAACAAGCACTGTATGAAACTGTGATAGGCCACTTTCACAAGAATATGAATATCCAAAACAACTACGTACAGTTGTGAGTGCACACTCATTGAATATTCATCTTGCCTATCCATCCCTGATATGAATATTTTTGAATTTTCCACGTAAGAAAAGGAAACCATGCAAAGCTACTGTGTTGTTTCTTGACTGTCCCAATGGTGGGGCTTACTCTGAATTTCTCCTTCAAGACTAGATGCCACTCCTTGAGAACAATGTCCAACTCCTCAATCAGGCTATCTGTGATTATTTGACTTTCCCTGCGCCAAGAAAATAATGACAAGAGAAACTGAAAAGTAGGTTTTATAGAAAATAATGCATTTAGAACTCTGAATCTGCTGACCATCATCCCAACCAGCACGCAATTCCAAGAATAAGTGCTTGTAACCCCTGCACAATGGACAGAAATATAAAAGGACACATGAATGGCAGTATTCACTGAGGGAGAAAATGTACAATGGGACTGCAATGGAAACAAGTTAATTTAACTTTGTTGCCTTATCCCTACTATTTCCACTTTTGGGAATCGTTGAGTTTGAATTTCTTTCAATTTATCTTTTGTAATAATATTTTGTGGGAATAGTGAATATTTATCAAATCAAATCAAATGTAGGTACATACACATTACGCTTATGTTTAATTCTGCAGCCAAACTATTATTTGAACAAAGAACATTTTATGGCAAACTGCAAGTACGGATAAAATCAAGTACTTTGATCAAATATTTGGAGGAAGACTCAGATTCATAACGGTGGTTGGGTTCTTTGATGACTAAATGTATTGAGCCATTTTCATGACACTTTGAAGGACAGTGCTCTATCTTTGATAACACATACACACATATCAGGCATGAGTACTCTGAATATTTGTAATGCTTTTCTGGTTTACCTATGAACTTGAATGTACTTTACCTAAAAGTTTTCCTTTGTCCATTTTTATTGGCCTAGGACACTCAAGGACTCAACACTGCTACTTTTTGGGCTTCACTTCTCAAGTGAGACTGAATATGAGGCTACAATATCTAGACAGGCGTGAGATTCAATTTTTCCTTTTTTAGTGACTTACCCCTGACTGCTGCATTCATCTTGTTCATTGACATGCACGTGGGATGACGGGAACACCCCCTGGAAAGCAACAAAATATGGTACCAAGCGATCAACTTTATTCCGGAATGTTCTTCAAGCTTGTAAAAAAACACAAGACATTCAGTAGCTATGTGACATGTACACGCACATACAGTAACTACGGGTACAAGTTACTGGAGATGGTAGGGTTACCACTAACATACACTGCACCCCTCATAGGGAATGAACGGAGAAATGGGGGGCGACACTCCAGTGCCAATGCCTTCCAAAACAAGATACTTGCACCTGTCTGAGTGATGTGGACCCCAAGATACACTTTTAACGATACTCTAGAGGATCATGCCACAACGTGCCGGTGGTGATATTTCCTAGCCCCAACTGAGACTTTCTTTTGATGCACTGAGCACCATCCTCCATGTTGGAATCCTCCATGTTGGAATCAACGCCAAAATGTGTAGTCTTTAATATGTGAATAAATACCTGTATGTGCTCGGTGGATCAAGAGAACCGATGCTGATAAGTGGCTGGAGCCAAAGGCAAGGGACATTATCAGAGTCCATTGTCCTGAGCTGATCTGAATATTTACTTGTACAACCACCAAAGCACAAATACATTCCCATTCATAAATACCTTTGCAGTCAGAAAATGAAATAAAGTAAACATATTTTTTTACAAATTTCAAATAACTCTGGTCAATGATTTCACTCTATTCTTTCAAACACCCCTCCAGCCACGTTCGTGTACGTGTCTCCCACGAGCCAGTCCTCTATCAGTCATTTAAGACAAGCCGTGTGACAGGCTCTAGCCCAGTAAGAATGGATGAACTGTCTTACATTGTAGGTACAATGTATCCTTACTTATGAATATAAAATTAATTTTGTTCACAGTTAAGATACATGTATCCTCCATAATCCTGCATGGATTTGTACAGCAAGTGCATCAAGGAAAAAAAATGAAAATGTAAATACTGCCTCATTCCTACGCTACCGCTGAACCAATTAAGACCACACTACATACCAGCACATGTACTTGTACATGTAAGTGCAGTGTACACATGCATATCTTTCAGTTGCCTAAAGCACAGAAGCAGGTGCAGGTATGTTTCACTTGTAAATTAAGAGATGTATGTATTTGTGTAGCATGTGCATTACTACATGAAGAGATCTGAACATCCTTGATTTGTACCCAAATGAAAAAAAAAAAAATAAAAAATAAAAAAGTAATATAAAGGACCACTTTCTTTGAACTGTTCAAGTTCCTTTGAAATGTTCCTTTCAATACTACAAGCCTTCCTGATTGGAAGCTGCAGTGAACAATTCCTCAATTAGGCTACGGCTTACAATCTACATATGCACGTGGAAGCCACTAACTACTGGCTGAAGCAGCGTCCCATACAAATGTAGCCAAGTGGATTCAAAATTGCTGCAGCCAACATGACAAGCACTGGCAAACTTCCAAATGAAATATCCCCCCTCAGCACGCTCAGGGAGTCTGCGGGAGTTACTATTGGGAATTTGACCAGGAAGCAATATCCTAGATGAACTGTTTTCAGCATTCCCAGGATTGGTTAAGCTCCTTTCCTTTGTGCTGACAAGAATCAGTTCCACTTGATCAGTTCAATCCACAGATTGATAACCAGAACTTCTGTATCAGAGTTCTGTCTGAAATGTCTCAGGCTAAATATGGTCAGCTGACACCCCGAGGTTGTTTCAACACAGCAAACAAAATGGTGGCTGAACTGACAACATGTCATTTTTTCCTCCTTTCAAACCACATCACTCAGACAATGCCTCATGTAGGGTACATGTACATTTACACTGTAAAAACACACTGTAAAAACACACTGCTCAAGTCAGGAGTAACAAGGAAGTACAATGTACCATGTAGATACTAAAATAACTCAGTTATCCCCTTTTATATTCAGGAAAATGAAACCAGAATGTACATATGCACAGAGAAAATAGGAATGTGAACTCCTGGAAATATTTTAGAGGCTGATACAGCCCTTTTTGGTTTGGCCTTAAATGTGTCAGCATGCACACAGTTTTTAATTGCATAGTGTACGACATTAAAGGTGCCAGTACTGTGATTGTACGCAGATTTGTTCCCCAGCTGTTAGTTGTGAAAATCCCAGAAATATAAATCAGACGCAGAAGTTTCTGTTTATGAGAATGAGATAAAAAAAAATTCCTGAATTTTGCCCCAAATCACTACCGTCAGTTTTTCTGACTGTATCTCCTTTGGACGCTGGGTTCAGCTGTGCCTCTACTACAGATAACACGTTGTAAAATGATACCATGGATATAATGTCAAAATCACACGGTCCCTCCTAATTCTCTCCCCCATTCACATCTCCTCTCTCCTACTAACCCATGTGCCGGTACACAATAAATGAACAGTCTCCAAGACCAAAGTAGCCTATGCTAGAGCAAGGTCGCACAGTTTCAACATGGAACATGCATTTCACCTGATGTGCCGAGCATAAATATGGATACCTACACATGGTGGCATACTGCACCAGTACCGCAATCAACTGTGGCAACAATTGATTACATTTTACATGAAGTGACAGGTGGTGTGTGTAACATTTGTAACTTTCATTACGCCTTGCATGTACATGTATCTCCTGATTGAATGTAGTCATGAAACTCAAGGCTACATGTGTGACTTGTACACATCCTTTTTTTCTCAATAAAGACTTACTTTCTACTCTGCAACAGGTGCACTGCACAACTGTGTCACGGGCTTGTTACATCTAAATGTAAAATGTACATGTATGAAATCCCACCGATTAAAGTAAGAGATTACCCTCCCCTATGAAACTGGGTAAGAGTTCTAGTTTTTTTTTACACTTCATGCAACCTTTCCTGGCATCATAAACTGCTCGTTTTCCCACAAACTCGAGTACACCTGGACTGAAGCATACAACTTGTTAGAAAACATGAGAGAGCTACTTTGAAGACTTCAGCCAATCTACAGACATGACATCACAACTGACGAGGACTATCTGTGGCATCTACCGGTACATGTACATGTAGCCTTGACTTCCTGTTCAGAAACTGAGCGACCCACCACGCTCAAGGAAACTTATTTTATGACATGCTCATGAACTTAGTAATGTTTTCCTTTCAAAAGACATTTTCATGACCAAACTGAGCCTTGTTTGGTCTAGGGTGCTTTCGATGATCAGCAGGGGTGGAGCAATGGAAACAACGTTTCGTGACTCATGCATCTCCGGCCAAGATCTATTTTTGGCCCCTGAATAAGATCCCCCATGACCAAATGAACCCTTCCAGCAAAAAGGTCTGTGCCAGCCTGCCCATCACTGTTAGGGCAGCTGGACCAATGACCCATAGGTAAAAGTGAACCAAGCACTTTCCAGAAACATTAAAAATGCAAATCCCATGCAAGTTCTGCATGGCACTGAGCTTTCAATAGGGGAGGGGCTAATAGATATAAGACAAATTCAGCATGATAGAATTGGTGAAGAATCAACATGGCAGCTCTGAAATCCCAAGAGTATAGAGGAATATTGACTCAGAGCTACAAGCATACTGACTGTAACCCCCTCCCTAACTGGCCACTCCCATCGCTGAATCTTACCACTATACCTGAAGCAATACAAAGTCTGGATTTCATGACATCAAGCACTAAAAAATGACTCATTATGATCTTTCTTCAGTAGAATAACAACGTTTAAATAAAGTTTGATAGACGATCAATAACCAACTTACCGTAACCGTCCTGTCTGTGGAAACACAGCCCCTGTACCACCCTGTATTAAAGGAGAATATAACAGATTCACAATTAGATATGCATTGTCAAGCAATCTTCTACGAGCTCTAATCACAGTCTGATGCAAATTCTGGTAGTGATGCCTGCAGTGAGTGTCCCTGAGCAACATATATTACCACAATAAATTGCCATTGGTACAACGGAACCAACCAAAGCAACATGTATGAATGATCAAATGGGCCTTTTTTCCACCATTTCGCAGTCTTAGAACAGGAAATGAGACTCTGCTTGAAACCCCGCTATTTTATTACTTATTAATTTACGAATAATCCTGCCAATCTGACAAACCTTCAGTGAACTCCAGAAGGTTGACGGTGTCACCAATTTTGAAGGATAGCTCTCCATCTCTGGCAGCACGGTACGTCCAGATGGCTGATGGCATAACATCAAGAAATATAAGAAAATCAACTTTAAATAATACATGTTGCAATAATTGTACAAGGTCTCTCTACGTGTGATAATCATCTTGGAATGCAAAAGTACATGTACATGCACGTGTAGTTAAATATATGCATGTCCAAATAAAGCATTTTTCCGCCTTGGGTAGAAGCACCCTGTCATTGGTTTAAAAGAGCCATATTGCGGGCAGGGTTTAGTTTATTTGGGTAGCAATGCGTCCATAACACATACATGTCACAGTCGTTTGTGAACCAGTAAAATGAGGTTTCCACCACAGCAGCCTCTGTTGGTAGGAAAATTGCGCCCTCTCTCGGCCCCACTTGGGATTCATTGCTCTCAAAATGCCTATTCATCATAATGGGCCATACATGTAGTTGTGGTCCACTGCCTGGACCGTTTCTGTGTGACATGTATTTCCGACCTGAATGCAACAGCGTCAATCTACATGTACACTACATGTAAGCAACATATCCACCAAAAGAGGGTGTTTACACAGCAAGAATCTGGATCCCAAATAGAATGCATTCCGTTAGCTCAACTTCTCTTGGAAATCTTGGGGTAACTTACGGTAATTCCATGCACCCAGTCCTTAGTCTGTAGGCCTACTGATTGGTTCACACACACCTAAAGCTGTAGACATATCGCATGTAGATGTACATGTACAGCATGCCTTGAGGTGCACTCCCAAACATTGTAACATGAACATGTACTCTATGCATGATTTGTGCGCACACAGTGGCATGGACATGTATCCATATGTTCAACTTATTAAACCTTGACATGAAGCCTTCACAGCAGCAATTGTTCTGGACTTCATTTTTTCGGGGTCTCAAGTCGGACTACAAGTGTTACATGTAATGCTATTGCAGGAAGAATAAATAACAGTCAGAATCTGGACCACCGTGGTACGGTACCAGAACATGTACAATATAACAGCTTCCCACATAGCTAGGAGCATCTCCAGCCACGATTTCGCAAGATTTCAGAGATGAACAAGACTTCTTGCCTTGTTGAAAATTTCTATTCCATTGGCACAGTCCTAGTAGGACTTGCATATTTCCCCCTCTGTAAAGGAATTGACTCTTTCTACACGTAGCGCTTGATTCAATTCAGTCACAGTTGCAAAAATAGCAGAATACAGACGTTACGTTTTTGACTCATTTTCTGCTACAAAAGATTCTTAAGGCATACACAATTCGAATTTCAAAATAATTTGGACTAGATAAATGGAATGAATCAGGGATTAAATTTTAAAGGTCAGGGTGGATTTTAATGAGCAATAACCCACTGTACATACATCATGTACATGTATGTCTCTTCCACCCTAATAGAGACCATTTTATCCATATTTACATTTATTTTTGTCGGTGAAAATTGGAATCTGAATCACAATTGTCAGATGGTTCTGGAATCCAAGTATCAGAGTTTCTAAAAATGCTTCAAATGCCTGTCACAGATGGTCCATTTTTCAAATATGCAAAGAGAAAGCATGTGCAATCACTACAGCCCAATGGAATTCAAGATAATCACGTACCAGGACAGGTACACTGTATTACTGTATGGGTAAGTGAAACTACATGTAGCTTACTTCCAATCCTTATGCTACAGTGTCAAATAAACCCCCAACATTTCCACAGGAAACTCAGTCTGTAACACTGTGACACTTTCAACAGTTCACAATCACACAGCAGGTTTACAATGTAACTTCCAAGTGAAAGTTCACAACTTGCACTGACCATCTTGATGCATTTAGGGTGGAATTTTCCCCCCAGAAAACATAGATACATGTACATGTACCAGTGTCCTTCACACTTTCTGTTTTAAGTTTGGATTTTTGGGGACGACTTCAATCCTACTGAGTAATTTGTAAAATACCTGCATGTACACTATACAATACTGTACATGATAGGGAATACATGTACATATGTACATGTACATGTACCTGTATGGGTACTTTATATGCACATGTACCTGTATGGGTATTTCACATGCACATGTACCTGTATGGGTGCTTCACATGGTTCAGTCACGCATTGAGCGAGTATCCACCGGTACCTGTATACACTTCTCCACAATACTTAAATGCAGTACAATATTGACACAGTTGCCGTGATTAATTGTATGGGGTTCTTCAATGTCACCAGTGACAACAGGAAAGCATAATACCCCTGGGATAAACCTTGTTCTTGTTCAATTACATTCTTATGAACTACGTACATGTAACATGCAGTGCATATGTAAATAAATACACAATAATAACGACTTTGTAAATCTGCTGTTTTAACTTGACCTGTTTTGTGTACTGTATTTAGTAATTTTATATGTATAATACAAGTGGTTTTCTAAGAATGTTAAATTGTACTGTGCCTTCTAACAGCATGTTGCTGTCAAAGCTGGTACATTAAAACTTCATTATTATTATTATTACAAATGCATGAATTTTCATGACATAAGCTACATGTACATCATTTATGTAAGTGTACCGTACATGTCCAGTGCACAAGGCTATGGAAAAAAAAAGAAGAAAACTTTATGTGCACTGTGGAAGCAGCGCACATGTACATGTACATGTACATGATACAAGTACCTGTATATCGTGTACAGCACGGCATAATTTGCTGATGTACCGGCATGGCATTAACTGTACATGTATTTTCATGCAGTTTCAAGTACAAGCTTATGTACATGTACACAGAAGTCTACCAATGCAATGAATACCTTTGGCAATTATGCATGGACTGTTATTAGAAGAAAACATTTTATCCGTGATGATTTGCAATCCTAATTTATTAACAAAATAAATCAGTTAATACATGTACCACTTGAAAGTACCAGTACAATGACTACACTCTATGTTCAAACATACATGTACATGTACTGGTATTAATGTACCTTACATGCTGAGTGATGGATGAGCTGGCACAAAAAAGCCAACCGGAAACTCAGGGGAAGTCAAGAACTGTCCACTGATGTGAATTTATAAATATACATTCCTTACTGAGTCACTTTCAATCCCAAATCCTCAACATAAAGCCTACACTGTTTGCATGACATGTACATGTACATGTACGTGACATGTATGCATGACGTGGATTATAAAAGAAACTTCGGTACGGTATTAGATTACCGCTGCTGAGCCAAAATCAGTAAACATGAAGTAAAACAAATGAACATATACAATATGAACATGAACAAGAGGGAAGTTGTGAGTAAATGAACCCAGGCTACTGAGTGCATGGAAATGTTTCTCTTTAAATGCAAACATTCTGAAAAAAAAAATTCTTTCACTGAGTTTGTACAGGTGTGGGAAGTGTACCCGCATTTGATCAACAAACCACACATTCATGTACTGTATGTCAACAAATAATGAAATAAAGCCTTCCACGTCCCTGTTGTGCATGTGACTATTTTTTCCTGATGAGCTCAACGGACAAGAGGAAAGATTTTGGTCAACAGAAGCAATGTTGTCAGCCAACCTGAGTGTCACACACATATTTAGCAAACGGCAAACCCACTGAAAGTGACCATTTTGCACAAGCACTATTTCCTGCTTGGAAGTTCCAGGATACTGAAGCAAGTAGCATTTGAACAGAAACAAAAACATCTAGACATCTAGAGTTTCACCCTGTAAAAAATCATTTCTGTAACTCCTACATTTATACCTTCTCTGTGCCTTAATTTTAGTTTCATTTTCTTTCCCAAACATGCCTAAAACCATACTTACAACATGCCACAGCAAACAAGTACATGTACTCCAAGCCGTAGGTGTTTCACGTTTCTTGCACACGGGTACATGTACATGTAGTTTTTTTTGTGCAATACAAGAAAAATGAGAGTGTTTGTACATGTACAAACTGGGGGAAGTGAGGGGGCCTGTTACCAGAATGGTCAAAAATCACAGTCGTTGTTGAATTAACTTTGAAGTGGCAATGCACTTTTACTGCGACGTTATGAGGGAACCAGATCTTGTTATGTATACACATGCATATATAATGATGCCTGCATTCGTATCAGACTTGGTCATCCTGAGTAAGCCCACCCTTCATTAAGGGGACACATTCTTTTGTTAGGAATGTCTGGAGACACAAATGTGTTCCCATAACATTTTTGGTCCTCACAACATCTAACATGTGTAGTTCCTATCACCTGGTACATCCGCGCATATACGTGTCCATGGGTAATTCCAGAAATTAGGGGTGCAAAAGTGTGACATTTTTGTGTCCCTGTTACATCTGATCTTTGTTATTTGACGTGGAAATATCACCAGGACTTGATTTCAAACAATTACTATTTGTTTGGCAGGTAATTTACATTAATTCATCACTCTTAGAAATTAACAAATGTGTTCTGAACTATCATATGTCAGATGTGACAGGGACACAAAAAAATGGACGCCTAATTTCTGGAATGACCCACATGTAACGGTGTGTCATGAAATCACACTTTGTTCTTCTGAATGACAAAGACGGCAATCAGCACTTTGGCCTTCACAAACTTTTACCCCAAAGAAGCACCAAAGCTACATGTACCTGAACTGGCACACAATTGTTTTCCATAATTATTTCGATGCTCTGACCTTCTGCTTTTTAAATCAGAGGATTATCTCTCATTACGTGTCATTCGATAGTTCTTTTATGACTTTCAAGTGTTCAAGTAGTCCATAAATACACACAAGGGCAAGTACGATGGCATTGTGAGCAACACATCCGCCAATAAATGCAGATAATAAACAGAGTCCTGAAGTGGCCTACAGTTTTCTCAGTCACTTTTGACTACAATGCACAATGCACAATGTACATTGCAAGCAGAGTCACCAACATGTTTGTATAAATTTTATACTACATATTTTGGTTTACAATGTGGCTATACCAGGCTTAGTAACTAACTACATGAACATACACGTACAATGTAAGTACATGTAGTGTGCGAATAATGACCCGTGCTTCCTTAAAGTACAGGGGACCAGCAAAGTATAATTCTTGACATTTGAAAGTGGTACCATCCTTGCCAGCCATCACATGAAATAATTATACATTTATTTGAACTTCCTGATTGCCACTTCATCACTCAATTTCATAGGATTAATTACTTCAAGGAATGTGGAAGCAGAAAAAAAACCAATCAAGACAATGGCAATATTAAGTCAGTCTTTTAGTTTTCACTTATATCATAAAATTAGAATGCAAACAGACACACCCAGTGAGAAAAATCTGACTACAAAGTACAAATGTATGAAATGAAATACAGCCAACATTGTACATGTATTCCAGTATCTGCTTTAGGTGCACGATGTTATCGCCTTTGACAGTTTTCAAACGTTAACATTTGAAAATTATTCTAGAACCCAAAATGAAACTGCAGCTCAGCGAAATGCCAATTGGTTTGAAAACTAGTTGTACAGTATAATAGTTGAACAATGTATATTGTAGAGCCCATATACATGTACATGTACTATACATGTACATGTACATTCCTTTACGTGTAATGTGTACATCCAACTACGGTGTGTAAAACATGAACTTTTGACCATGAAGCATCAGTGCCAACGCTGTACACAAATGTACTACAAAAGAGGAACCTGGTTCACAGGTGCAGCAAGAACGCTGCAACAAAAAGGTTTGCGAGACTCTGTGAATTCCAATGCTGGTATTCTTTTTTGTTCCCTCTCAAGTCCAACATTTGAGTGTCCGACCAGGAAATGAAACTACACGGCACACATACCAGTACAAAACAGCATCTGTGAGGCAATACATGTACATTCAAAGTCAATGGAAATCTCTTCACAGTCCTGTAATTTATGTACCAGTATGTCATATGAGGTTTTTGTATTGTAACCAACAAACATACACTGTACATGATCCTACTGTACATGAATGTTAAGACACGTTTCCTTTTCTCTGTCGTTTTATGTTTAAAATCAAACCATCAGTTAATGTTACAATCAGTTAATGCATTCAAAATAACGTCTTTCATGGCCTAGAGTGTACCGCACATAACGGTGCATGTACCCACTACATATTACATGCACTAATTCACATCTGACATGTATACAAGAATGTGTACACTGTACAGTACGCATAAAATGTATGCCGCATGTGGAAGGCCACTGCTTTAGGGGAGAGTTTGCATTGTTAGAAAATTTGGGACCAAGTTATGGAGGCAAAAATTTATCCTCAGAGTAAAATTTGTTCCTACAATAATTATTGTTCGACACTTGTATTGGTGGTCCCCATGAAGACGGTACCAGTATACACAACCCATGTACACATACATGTCATGTATTGTACAAAATTAATCCCACTTTTCTTACTTTTGTAAAAAGCACAAGTTTCAAAATTAAGAAGTTTCTTTTCCACCATATGGTCCTCTAACAGTAGGTTTAGTCCAGAAATCTGTTGTTAGTTATGAAGTTCTGAACATGAATGAATATTAAAAGGTACATGTACATGTAGGTTTACATGAAAATGGTTGGGTGTGAACACTGTACTGGTACATGTACTTCAAAACTTGTTTATAAAAGTGAAGAATTAGGCCTACATAAAGTCAAGTACTTACTACAGGATGATGGTAGGGTCACATGCATTTGTCAAAAATGAAATGTGTGCAAAATGTAATGTGATTTTTTTTGTACATGACAGCAAGTTCCATTTGCTTCAGAAACCAAAATAATTCGGGCATAAATGTACATTGTTTCATTTTTTATTATACGGTCATAGACCACACACTGTGCTCATGAACCTGGCTGATTTCACCTCAATCTCCGTTTCTTCTTCCCCTCTATCGTTTTTCAAAGCTCTCACTTTTGCGTAGTCATGGAGACCTCATATTAGGTGAGATGTCTTCAACAAGAACCGACCCCCAAAGAGAACAAAATTTCCATGCTGCTGATGGTGTTACAGGTGTGCGTCACAAATCAGTAGTCTTGCAAAGTCTGGCAACATTCATGATGTATCGATGAGGTGTGTGAACAAAGACGAATTAGCGAATGTAATCTGGTTACAGAATATGGATGACAATTTTGACCAATCTTGATGAATCTTAACAGCTGGGTCTGGTAACCAGCCTCGAGGTGCAGCACAACATAATGGCATAATCCGACTTGCCAGTATCCCAAACATGGGTAAGGACATTGGGGGTTTTTAACTTAAATATTGTCAACATTTATTCAAAGAGAACTTTGTTAAGTTACTTAGGATTAAAGAACTTAACACTCAGGGTCAAAATTAACTTTGCTTCCTTAAGAAACAGGATGCTAAAAGCAAGGAATACCAATTGTCCAGAGTTGAGCAAAAAATGACTTTTTTCTTCAGTTCTGAAGTAAAACCTATTCCACCATGTCCACATTTGGGTTTTTGTTACTGTTGTTCCCAGACAGTAAACCAGTGGAACTTGTTGACTTTTATTTGGGTGGATAATAACGTTAAACAGACCTGACAACTTGGACATGTCAGCAGTGGTCAGACCTGAAAATGAGGTCTGGCAAAAATAAACAAAAAAAAAACAAATAAACAAAAGCAAAGAGAAGAAAAACCAAAAAAAATGATTGTATACAACTTAAACATGTTTAATAAAGGCATGTAAAATGCTCATTTAAGCCGACATCACATATTTCCAGACACTGCCAGATGTAAAAAACGCTCCACTGGAGCTCAGGCCACGGCTGAACCATGCCACTCAACCGTGTCACGTCAGCTACATGTCTGCGACTGCTGCTGGCCAGATCATGGGCAGACAAGCCACTCCCACGTCGCCTAAAACAATCCATGAAATGGTCAATAACATTATGACAGCATCACCAAAAAGAAGAGAAAGTTTCTCACCAACTGCCACCTTATTTTCTGTCACTGGCTTCCACATTTTAACCCAAGTTTCGCCATGAGCTTCCGATGAAGAAAAACGGAAGTAAACTTGCAAAAACTGGGCAGCTTGTGTATGTGTGTCATGTACTGTACATGTACAATGTACGTACGTGTGCCACATTAACAATACACTGGGTGAACTTTGACATCTGAACAAGACTTTATCGTCTCTTTCATGACAAATGTAATTTGAATCGTGAAACAGAAAAAGTGTAAAATACTATCGGCCTTACTTTTCTCCTATTTCGTATCGCGGAGTTTGGTTGAAAATATATTTAAGATCTGTGTATACTTGATTGATCGTAGAGAGTACATTCTTGAACGTGGCTAACATGGCAGCCTCCTTATGATCAAAACAGACCGATCTGGCCTCTCTGGGTGAAAAGGTGTAGGCCTTTGGTCAGTGCATGGTCAGTGGTAAAGCCGCTCAGGTCAGTTATTTGTTAACCTTATTACAAGTTATAGTGCTAGAAGTACATTTGTAGATCTGGCATTTTTGGTCGTGTTTTCAACGGCTTAGTCGGAACCACTAAATAATTTATGAAGTTCCGCTCTCAGTCATTGAGTCAGTGTGACTGTGAGACTGAGTCATTGTCATGCTTTTGAGTGAGCAGGTGAACATGTCATGCATGTCATGGGGAAATGTTTTCCCCGATCCAACTTAGTCTGAGTAGCTTGGACTTTATTATCGCCTTTATAACATTTGGACATGGAGATTTTTGGAGTCCAAGTTACTCGAGGGGATTGTACATGTATACTTGGGGACCAACCAGTTTTTTTTGTCATTTTATTTTATAAAACCCGTCAGGCCCCCCCCCCAAAAAAAAACAAGGCAACACTCTCTTAATTGGGCAGACCCTACTTTCTGGAAATTTCTAATTGTAAATTGTGAGAAAACGTTACTTTACGTTTACTTTTACGTGACTTTTAAACGTTACTCTTACTAATAAACCAGCCATGCAAATTTGAATCCCCCGTGTGTGATGTGTTAATACACTCAAAGTTTCCCCTTATAATTTCCCTCAAAACTAAAAACACTGCCCCTTTTGGACAACAATAACCCTACAGTTATTGAGCATGATATGTCGTAGTCATCTGCTAAGGTAAATTCAAAAGTTAAAATGTAGCTCTTCCTTCTATTGTAGGAACAGGGTCCCCAAATTTAAAATCCCTGATACTTTGACTAGATCCAACAGTAGTTACTGTGATTCTACCTCCATGCTCTGGTCTAGGTGGGAGACTGTTCCAATCCATTATCAGGTCGGGGACCTGATTGAACCACATTTCTGGACTCTGCATACATCACCTGATCCAGCGACAGTGGAATGACATCATTTTAAAGTTACTTTTTAGATCATGGCTCTCAAATGGGCCCGATATCTTCATAATTAATCTGCTAAATTTTCTTTGCTGTTCAAGGGTAAGCCATCTGTGTTTTTGGAGAAGGGCTGTCCCTCTTCTCATGTTGGTGCACATGTAATTTTAAACAGTCCCATAAGAAACCACCCTATGTCAATGTTTACTACACAATTCAGTGTTACTGGCTGCTGGGACATTGACAAATACATCAACTGGACAGAAGCCTCAAATTTAGTTACACAAGTTAGGCTAACATACATTTTTGAAAAATTTTATTTAAATTGAATTATATTTTTCAATCAGATTTTTAAAATCAATTTCTTTGTGTAGTTTTCTTCGATTTGTTTCGGGGGGGATAGAATTTATACCCCGGAGAATTTTTACAAGGGAAATGAATTCTGAGATCATTTGTTGCAGACTGATCTCGTTCCCGTTTCTATTGCTCAAGTTTGGCGCAGTGGAAGTTAACGGCCAAAGTCTTAAGTGCCTTGACTGTAGCCGTGGCAGTTCTTTAATTTTTTTCTTTATTTTTCTGTCAGACCTTTTCTGAGATCCCAACGATAATGGTAGGTGCAATCAGTCAATCGCACAATCTTTGTACCATCTTTCAATCTTAGTGCATGATTTTCTGATAATTCAACTGTCTGCCAATTTGCATTCCCTTTCTAGGTGTACTTTGTAATTTGCAGTTGTGGAAACTTCTTTTTGAAAAGGGAATCAGTCGTGCAGATTGATGGCTCGTTTCCAATAATGATGACTGTCACTCTTTCAATCCTAAATGTACATTTACAGCTTCACAGAGACAATGGATAAAGTGAAGAATGCTACCCATCCAATTTTAGAACCTCTCACCTTCCCAGAAGTTAAATGCAAACAGTCAACCTCAGCAGAGAGTGAAACCAACAACTCATTCATAGGCTGTCTACTGTGCTCATTGACCTTTGACCTTCAAAGGCACGAGTCAGAGTTTCTGAAGCATCTTCAAGTTGCACACAGTCTGTGCATCGCTGATGTCAACCTCATTTGTGATCTTAGAAGGTAAATAACACGAAAAGACTTCAGTCACTTTGGAAAACCTTGAACAATGCGAGATAATATTTTTGTAACTTGTAATAGAAAAATTCTTGATCATACATGCACATGATGCAGGTAATACTAAGCTTTGTACTGAGTTGTAATGAGTTTTAGTATGTTGCTTGAAAGAAAATATTTTGCCAATTTGGCCCTAAATAAGAAAGGAAATGGAATGAAAGTTTAAACTGGAATGTTTCTGAGCGAATGCCTGTATGGCTAAACCTTGATGGACCTTTTTTTTTAATGTGTTCGTTGCTGTTTTTTTTTTTTTTAATTTAGATTTCAGTTTTACATTTGTCTTACTGTTCTGATTTTTTTACAGATACATTGAATACTGGCGAATGAGGTTCAGCCAGGAATCCTACGTGCAATTCTGCACCTTGGTCAAGCAAGATTCTCAAACCTGGCGCATAGGGAATGGTAAGATAATCTCATGTTGTATCTTCCATTGTAAAGTATAATGCTAAATCTTCAAAGATCCATTGTTCTGAACTATAGAGCAGGGAATTTCATAGCCTTGTCTCTAATGGAGGAATTGGATAGCCTTCCCTCTCAAAACTCTGAGCATTGCTGTTTTCATTGAAACACTCTACTGAAATCAGGACAGGGCAGTGTTGGACATTGTTGAATGCCTCCTCTGTTGTTTTGGACGGTAATATCACGTTTGTCACTAACTAGGCAACAGTTGGCTTAAGAGAAAATGATACAGCACAGCTCTCCAGTCCAGTCCCGTACATCTTGAAAACTGTCCCTTAGTGTCCAGCCATGAGATGACAGATATCAGGGAGACAGTTTTGTCTTAGCTGTGTTCCTCCATAGTCTACAGGCGATTTCAAACACTGGAGTCAATCTTTCCCCCCTTCCCCGTCCCCTGTCCAACTTTGTCTAGGAGCACCCGTTCATTGAACCTCTTGTGATAACAGAGAATGTTTGCAGCTGAAATAAATGGTCTCAAAGTTAACACGCTGTAGACAGACAGTCCCATCCTGGTATTCTCAGACTTTTTTTTGTAGAAACATATTTATTCCCAGTTGGAATTATTTATTGGTTGCATTTTCCAGAGTCCCAGTATTATCTCCTGTCAGACCTCACACCGGAAGACAAGAAGTTGAGGGAGGACCTCCAGCTGAAAAGACTAGACATGATTCTCAGTACCCAGCAGCAGGAACGAGAAGATTCCACTTTCTCCAGGGGTTGCCTGTTTTGTCGGGAGCATTTTGAGGGAAACAGGGCCTCTTTGTTTGATCATATGGCTTTTGATCACCATTTCAGTGTAGGCCAACCAAATAATATCGGTGAGTTTTGAAAATACTAAAAGAAATATGAGCCATGTGAAGCCATCTGTATTACAAAAGTTTCTAAATTTTTTATTTGTTCCCTGGTTTGGAAAGATTTGAGATATTGATTTAAGGGACCAAGCAGGGCTGTGCCGAATATTCGAATATTTTGATTGATTGTCAAATATTTGATTATAATTTTTGAATTTGAATGTTCGAGTGCAAAATTCATAAACAAGAAATGAGAATTTCCTTTTTAAATGAGAAAAAATCCATACACTAAGGCAGCTGATATGCCCAACAGTCCATCGGCCGGTACAATCAAATATTTGAATATTCAAATATCCAATCGAATTGAAGGCCGAATATTCGAATGGTCAATTATTTGAATTGACTCCGCCCTAGCACCCAATCCGTCACCTTGTCATATACCCGATTAAACTGCAACCATGCAAAAATTGTTTTTATTTAATTAGCTTAGTTTTTGTAAGAACCTGTCAATATCAACATGATTCATTTGACAAATCTATAATCTGGTTGTTGGTTTGCTTTTTCACAGTTTTTGCCAACGAGTTTCTGGACATACTTGAAGAAAAATTAAGCAGGTAGATGCTATACTTTCATTAAGCAAGTTTAAGTTTCTAAACTTTGGAAGCGAATTCCCAGAAAAAGGATGCAACACCTGTGAATTAAAAAACATATTTCCAAAAGGCACATGTATTTTCTGACTTTCTGCTGGACATAGAGCCAAGCGGTAAATTTCTGAATTTTTGAAATCATGCATCTCAAAGTAGACCTTCATGAATGAGCAAACTGCAGCAGTTGGGAGACAAAATCACCATCTATCATCATCAGATGTCATTATTTATTTGTATCACTACTTTACCTGTGGGTAAAAAATGTTTATCTATGCCTCTATAGTAGCATACTCTCTGGCCTTTCTATAAATTCATCAGTGATTCATAATGTACATATATGGTTGCCATTCCGTGACCATCTTGTGAATGAACATTCATGGTAGGTTGTAATGCCCCAAACTATCCTGTGTGTCTCTGTGGTCCAGTCGACAAATTGCTGGCAACTTGAATGGTAATTTCCTTGTTTAAGACCAAAAAGTATTTAAAGAGCTTCCTTAGCTTAGTAATATTTCATTGCATCCAGGTCATTCACCTGATTGCGATTTCTAATTCCTTTGTAAAACAACATTTCCTTGTTCGTGGTGCCCAGTTTCAAGTGTCTGTATTGCGACAAGACCTTTAAGGATAGACTGACCCTTAAGGAGCACATGCGCAAGAAGATGCACAAGAGAATCAATCCCAGGAACCCTGTCTATGACAAGTTCTATGTCATCAACTACCTGGAGCTGGGCAAGAACTGGGAAGCGGTGCTATCAGAAGAAGAGGAGGATGAAGATGGAAGACGAAGGGGAGATGAGCGAGATGATGTGCAGAAGGATGAGTGAGTGACAGAGATGCCCCGTCACATATTTATATGTTACAAATTTCCAATTGATTTTGTAACTACTGACTGGTTGTGGCCATGAATATGGACAGAGGATTGACATTACTAAAGCAAAGTTAAACTGACTATTGAGTTGGTTGATTTCGAGGGATTGTTTCCGTGTTTGGTTTATTGTTTTGGGGATTTGGTCCATATTTATTTGTCTTAATCAATCCTTTTGGCGCCGGTTCCACTGGGTTTTCACAGCAGCGATATCTGCAATGCCACATGTAGACGTCATACTCTTCAGTAGCAACCGTTGGCTTGAGCTCCATCACTTGCTCTACTCCCATTGCTATACTGCATGAATGAGCTTGATATTTGGCTGGAAAAAAGTCTATGTACCCATGTGATCACAGACTGCACTTCTTATTGGATAAGGTGGCTGGGCTTAGTGCAGCTGTTAAACGTGTATGGCAATGCTTGAAATACGAAATTGTGTCGCACGATTGGTGAAACCTGCTTTGATTCTCTGTTGATACAGTGCATGTGTAGTTTGGAAATAAATTATGTTTGATGTAAGAAACATCCTGGTATTACATCATTTTATGTTTTGTGGGCTGTGGCCGTTATAGGGTCAATGGCTGGTGATCAATGACTGTGTAATGCAAGGTGTCTTCTTTGCTTAAGTCGGATAAAAATCGGTTGGTTCCATTGTATCTGGCTTATCCAAGGTTGACTGTGTGCAGTTGTAGTCTTTTCCTACCTGTGTAGATTTGGTGAATGTACTTGATCAAGTCCTTTTTATAAGTTAACCCTAACCCCCCAGGCTGTATGTAAAATCATATTGAAATTGGAGGATTTGGGACTGTTAAGGTTAAGTGTATTGAAATGATTTGAGGGACAGGTGTTATTTGAAATTCTGCCCCAATGTTTCACTTACGTTTGAGGTCAGAAACAACCTGTGTAGTGCTGCTCTAATGATCTTCTTTGCTCGATGCAGACTAAGTTAAAAAAACACAAACATACATCTGTGCACTTCGAGAATCTTTGTTTGCAAAGAGGAACATGAGCATTGTAATTATCAGATCATCCAATGATGTTTTATTCTGTGCCATGTTTCCATAGCAACTGGGAGGACTGGCAGGAGGATTCTGGGATAGGTGCTGTGTGCCTCTTTTGTCCAGTGAGCACTGCTGACATCAAGAAGTTGGAGACACATATGCTGTCCTTGCATGGGTTTGACCTTGAGCACATGAAACGAGGTGAACGTTGAAAATGTAAAGACAAATCTGGACTTGTTATTGAAAGAATTGAGGAATATCAAGGGACAGAGAGGGCCATTGCCCAGAGTGTCCGGTTATATTTAAACCCTAGTCCTCAATCCTCCAATCGGTGAATGATCAAGGACTGTCAGGCAGAATGACACTGGATCCTCCCGTAGAGTGTTTCCCTTCGTTTTATCTACCCACCCACTCAGAAAGAGCACAGTCTGTTGTTTATATGAGCGTCTGCATGAAGGGAAGATGAGATGTTTGTGTTTGCAGCATACTATATGTCTTGTGCTCTCGTCAGTTCCAACTGCTGTCAACATTAATAAAATATTTGAATCGTTTCTAACCTCAAGCAGAAATCAGGTTGAAGCTTGAATCTATTTCACAGAAGATTCATGTATTTTGTTGGATGTAACAAATTGGTTGAACATTTGGATTGGGTATTAGTGACGTTTGCCTCTGATTTAGAAGAAATTTTTCTATAAAGTCTTGAGAATTAAATCTTCATTTAAGCTGCAGTTGAACCACTTTCTGATGAAACAGAACAGAAAGGAAGCATGCACAGAACCTTTGCCCTGTTTTGTTTCAATTCCAGGGCCTCATTTGATGCATTGTCGAATATTTTTCTTTGTAGGTTTGAATTTTTACTTGCAAGTCAAGCTGATCAACTACATCAGGCGCTGTGTTCATCAGAGGTCCTGCATCCGATGCAAGGAAGTCTTCCCCAACAGGGAGGGGCTACTGGATCACATGACATCACAGGGTCACATGACAGACTTGCCTGACAAGCAGGATTGGGATCAGCCTCAGTGAGTTAGAGTGGGCGGGGACAGTCTGGAATTAGAGGGGGGAGAGTGCTTGTGGATCAGAACAAAGTAACATCAACAGATTTGGCTCATTTTTCTCGCTGTGTGCTTTGGTTTATTATGCAAGCCTGCGGCAGGCAGAGTAATCAGGGAAATTTGTGGTGGCAGGTGTCCCAAAATTAGACACAGAATCATGTAGAGATGTATTAGGGCTAGGAGATGTAAACCAAAACATTACACGAGGAAACCATTTTGTGCCACACCTTTAAGGAATGGGTTATTTCAACTGTGTTAGGAATGGTGCCAGGGGGCACATAGAGAGATTGCAATTTCAATGTCCAGAATTAGATTCCTAACCTCTGTAACACCTCCAAATGGATGTGATCTTCAAAAAAGTTTCCACATTAACCCTCAGTCACCCAGCTTGATAATGTTCACCAAAAATATTTTCTGAATGGTTTAGTGATCAGTGAGTAGTTTCAGTCAGCAAAGATCCCATGAAGGAACTTGCAGTGGCACTGTGTGGTTTCCCACAGGCGACCTAGAAATACATCATTACATAATGCATGTACCAGTCACCATGTGCACCAGTGGTACAAAGCACATAGAAATTGCAACTTTCTGATTTTTTAGAAAGATTGAGTCAGCCATTTTCCCGTCGGTAGCTTACTGTTATTCTGAAACACACTGTGTTCATTTTTTGGTTATTTTTCGATTCTCTTCAGATATTTCTTCCCAACCTATGAGAATGACACCTTGCTTTATAAATTGGAAGATGATGATGAAGATGGCATTGATGATGAACCAGGCAGAGCAGGGAAGACACCTGTCATTGCTGAAGATACTCCCATTGCAAGGAGTAGCATCTTGAGAGATCACAACGTCCTCCGAGGTTTAAGGGACAGCTGACTGAGGACACAGTGAAAAGTTGAAAAGGACCAATGAGATTGATGCCGTTGAAACAAAGACTGTATATTGAGGTTGGAAGATTTTTTTTCTCTTCATCAAGTTGAAGATCCAGGAAACATGCAGGCTTGGTATCTTCACAGATGGATTTCTGTGGTTAAGCTGACTTGTCCTTTTGACATTGGTTGGTCTGAAAATGGTTGGCAGAAACTTTTGCTACTTGGAGCCGAGAACGTCGTTTATTTTATCCAGTGTGAAATACTCATTGAGGGTACGTGTGACTGTGAAAGAGACTAATTTCAAGTGGGCATCTAAGCCAGCTAATGTATTCTTGCACACTGGGAAACAATTCTTTATTTCAACACAGATGAAGATATATTTCCTCAAGCACATGGGTATGTTGTATATTTTTACCTGCCACATTCATACATTAATTCAGGCGCATTACCCACTTTTGTTCTGTATTTGTATACAATATATAAGTATGTCAGCATCATGAAAAGGATGTTTCTTACGTACAAAGTTGAATATTTGTGATTTATCAATGAATTTTCAAATTACATCAAAACTCACAAATCATATGAAAATATTTGGTTGCACTGGATTGCGTATAGAGTTGTATTAAAGTTGTGCTCTATGAGATGAAATTGTTTTGTGTATACTTTACAGTTCTTTCTGGGATGGCAAGTTATACTTGTTATATTTAGTATTGCATTATACCCTGAAAATATCACTTCAGGTTTAATTTCTACCATTAAATTAAGTTCAGATGTGTTGTAACTTGTTAATTTAGAAACCTACCTGCACTGGATCCTCTCAATTTACTCTTTCTTTAGATTGCTTTTATCATGATGAAAAATCCATTGCAAGAAATTATTCTCACATTAATCAACATTAACTGAATACACAAATAATGATGTGACAAGGGAATTGTTCCAAATATTGCTATGTACTTAATAATTTCTTGGAAATGGAAAAAAGGTGGGAAAACTTCACTAAAGTGCAGTTCCTAAAGTGATACCACCAAATATTGAACAATGTAGCAGTATCACTTTCAATGGATCCATCCGTATTTCCAAGTTAATGTTTTGACCCACATGGATGTAATGAGCCTTTTGCAAGTAACATTTGAATAAAATCTGGTACACCGAGTCCTTTAAATCATGTGAACATAAATATTTGAATTCTCCACATGAAAGACTCTTGCTATACCTTGTGATTCCGGGCAAGCTTTTGCTAAAAGAGATGCCTTGCAACAATACACTGTTCTCAATGGATAAGAAGGGCACAAAGGAACCAGTCCATTCCAGAGATGGTGGTCGCTATGCGAAAGCTTGCCCCAACTCATGAGGTGTAACAACAGTGTCTGTCATCTGGGGAACTCAAATTGTTATGTTCAATCAATAGCATGTTGTACTAGATTTTATTTTATTGTTGTTATACACAGTTGTCTTACTGCAAGGTTTTCAACTATTTGTAATTACTAAAAGCGTTAGTAGTTGAACAGACATGACAGGTAAAATTCTCAGGCTATTTCCGTTTCAAATTTTACTGTGTATTTCAACAATGACCATGTTTATATTTGACATGCCAACAATCTCAGGTTTCATCATTTGCACAATTTGATGATATCTCAAGAAAAACGTCTTGAATCAAACACTTAGTCAGTCGTGCAGGTATTCTGCTGCCTGGCCTAGCCAAGCATTTATTTATTGAGTTGCAAAGTCAAAAGGTTTTAACTTAAATAAGCCGTGTTGCTGTACGTACATCTCACAAGCAGTCACACACACACATATGGGATATTGGTGTGACCGTGGCACAAACTATGTGAGGTGACACAGGACGTGATGAGCCAGTGGAAAAGGACATTAGTACATGTATCAACCTCCATCTTCCTGATCCCAAGACTGGACAAATACATGGTTATGCAGGAGTGCTGAACTGGACCAAGAGAGGGCGCAATTTTCCAATTAACGCAGGCACCTTTGGTCCGAACTGCGCTTTGCCAGTTCACAAACGACTATGGAATGAATGTATTATTGTGGCATTGCTACCAACAAAGTGAGTACTTCTGACCAACATGGCTCTTTTCAACCAATGAGGGGGTGCTTCTGCTCAGGGCAGATTACCATTCATATATACCTTCTCAGCTAGAGTCAAAGCAATTCCAAGTTTAAACAATTCTGTTCACTTACGTTTTCATTTGTCACCCCCCCGACATGTTATAGCATGTTCTTCCAAAGAGCCAGTGTTTTATCAAGCATTTAAGAATGGTCATGTGATAGGCTCATGAGCAAAACATACAGCTGATATGTCTAAGGGTATTTATTCATTGCATATAAAATATTTTCAGGCCAATTTTTTTGTCTTTCGGTAGTTACGTCTATTAAGTAACCTGTACAGTTACATCGATTTCACTTCCAAAAACGATGACTGCTATGTCACATGCGCTCAGTGCACTACTTTAGAATTGGTCGTTACTGGAGTTGGAAAGGTGAACAGTGTGTCTTTAAAATGACAAGCAACTTTGAGAGAAAAAAAGCAGAAAATATTTTGAAAAAAGCCTCCACATCCCTTGGCTCTGCCTGGTTCTGCCAGTGACTTGTCCCTCTGAATTTGAAAACTAAAGACCAAATACAAGGTCGCTCAAACAAATTCAAGCTGTGAAATGGCCTGGCATCTCTGGACCAATCGTCTCCAACGAGAACATCTGCTGAACCATGCAATAGATAACGCAAGAGTGTTTTTCACAATGAGAAACTTAAGGCAAGGCAATATTAATTGAATGAGGCCAATTACCAGGTGTTTCACTGCATCAACTCACAAGCGCAAGGCTTCTCCAAAGTACACATAGGCTCATTACAACCAATCCATCCTTGAACCCTCTCCACAGTGACCAGCATGTAGGTCCCATGTATCAAGTTCATCTTCAAGGTTAGGTTAGCCCAGGCCCAACAGCTTCTGTAATCCAAGGCCATTTCTTTCTGATCAGTTTAGTCTATGGTCCTTAAATCATCCATGGCTAGGCCTGCAAGGTTCACCAAAGCCAGTCTGACAACTTCCATCAATCTCACTCAAGTGAAGTTCCTCAGTGGAATGGATTCTTATCCAACTTTCTGAGCTTTGTTTGGGCAGCAAAGCAACCTTGTCTATCCATTTCAGAAGTATTTCATGATTGTTTTGCAACTGTTTCAAATCCAGTTCACTTTAAGAACAAAATGTAAAACCCCATCAAGACACAGGAAGCAGCTACAGCAAGATGTAACCTTGTTCCAATGATGGACGCTGCAAAGGAGGAAATAAAAGAAAACATTCTTTCAAAACAAAAAACAGATACACACTGGTGAAACCTTCTGAAGGACGAACAGTTAGTGCATTCTTCCCGAAGTGAAAGTAAAGAAATGGGATTTTCATTAATCTCAAAGCATTTGAACAAGCCAGTGAAACCAAGTGACTCCACTTTATACTGTCAGTATGGAATCCTACCATCACATGGCCAACAAAGATGAACCAATTTAGCAGTCCAGTGACTGTGACAAGACTTGTTGAAGGAATCAATAGAAATGGATACTTGGCACCACTTTAAAGACAAACAATAACAGTAAAAATATTTTTTTCNGAAGTAGCATCTTGAGAGATCACAACGTCCTCCGAGGTTTAAGGGACAGCTGACTGAGGACATAGTGAAAAGTTGAAAAGGACCAATGAAATTGATTCCGTTGAAACAGACTGTATATTGAGGTTGGAAGATTTTTTTTCTGTTCATCAAGTTGAAGATCCAGGAAACATGCAGGCTTGGTATCTTCACAGATGGATTTCTGTGGTTAAGCTGACTTGTCCTTTTGACATTGGTTGGTCTGAAAATGGTTGGCAGAAACTTTTTCTACTTGGAGCTGAGAACGTCTGTCGACCATAAGAATGTGTCATTGCATGGACACAGTAACACATGTGCACAGATGAGGATTTCCATTGGCCCTTAATTGGGTACATTCCCATTCCGTTGGCTGTTCCCACTGGAATGCTGGCATTCCATTGGAACGTGCCCGCATCGCAGGCACATTCCAGACCGTTCCAGGCAGCGTTCCATTGAGAACGCGTGTTCCCAGTGGAACAGTGCTGCAGTTACATTCGCAATTAAGAAGAAAGATTTTTGGCATTCATTTCCTTGATCCTATGTCTGAAGGATGGTAGCTGGAGTGTAGCATTTTGGGATTTACTCCTCATAAAAGTTAATGTTTCTCCTGTTTTTCTTGTCCATATTCACCATGACATAGCTTACCACGCAATGACTTGGACACCGTTAATTTTATTGTGTTGATGTTCACGTCTGTACTTGGGAGTGTTTTATTCATTGTCAGGTTTGCGTGGTAGAGGGATTTATCATAGCAATGTTTCCTCACATAAGTATTCCATCATATCAGAAACAATTTAAAAACCTAACCTGTAATTGAAGGGGTACGGGTGAGGTCTTCAAATATCATGGAAAAAGTTGAACCACATGACTAAGGCAATGAAGCTCAAGGTTGATATTGCAGCCTATAGGCCAGTGATACACACACTAACACATACATGTACTCTGCAGGAAGTCAGTACGTAGTGATTTTCACTTTTGTATCTCAGTTAAAACAAAATTTCCATCATCACATTAACAAATTTTACCATATCATATTTCCATCTTCAGTTTACTTCCAGTTCTTATTTAAAATTAGGCCTATTGTGAAAGCAAAGTAGTTTACCTATGCTCGTTTGTCATGGCAGGCTCCGTTTTTGGACATTGGGTAAGATTTGTACATTGGCGATTGAAGCTACCTGAATGGAGACGTTCTGATGGGAACGCTTGTTTTCATTGGACCGTTCTCACAAGGGAACACAGCATTCCCCGTGGAATGTCGCGTTCCCAACGGAAAACCCATGGTTTCGGAATGACAATACGGCGTTCCAATGGGAACGTTCCAACCATTCTGAATTTTGAGAAGCTCCCTTATTATCAGCAACTTCTGGCTTTGTAGTACACTTGTTCTTCACCATGCTTAAAGGTAACTCTAGCGACCAGCATGAGGAGCTATTCCTGTGGGGCCATCCTGTTCATACACAGGTGGTACGGTAATGTTATATGCTTCCTCTTCTTTGACCAACAGGGTGTCAAAAGTTGCCAAAGTGTGGGCACACGAATGCTCAAGTCAAGACATGTGCCTGAGTGCCATGGAATTACAGAAATAGCGTCTCCTTAGATGAGTCTGTAACTTGACGTGTCCATGAAGAGAAAACTCTGATCAGCAGCCCTTTGAAACATAGTTTTCTAATTTGAGGGAGGTCATGAATGTTTAACAAAGTTAATATTTGGGTCATTCCACGAAGTTTGGGCACAGCTTGTGACGGCGTCCCTTGTTACATCAGTGAAAATAAACATCTAAATTGACATTGTTGTACATCTTGCTAGGTTCTTGTAGTGGTGTGCTTTATCTTTGCCGAATAATAATGACTCAATCTGTTTTAATGTGAAAAAAATGGGCAATAAAAGTTACTGATGTAATAAGGGACGCCATCACAAATTCTGCCCGAACTTCATGGAATGACCCATTTATGAATGACAGTCGCAATCATGTGCATAGCTTTCTACTTTCATTCTATATTACTAAAAAAGGTCAGCCAGTATCCTCAGGTCACCATTTTTGCAAAAACAGACTTCTCTGATTCATTTAAATTTAATTGTTCTGAAACTATTGTGTGCATGTACTTGATAATGATAACATCAGGTTCCTGTCAAAATGCTACACAAGGGCAGTTTAGGATAATATGAAATCTTTGTTATGACGTAATTGTGTCTGGTTATACAATTTTGCAAGCCACCTTAACTTGTATCCGGTTATTGCTTTTGGGTCACAAACTTGTTTTCCTGGTTCACCAAAACATGCCCCAGGAGTTGAGCATTCAGACAATATAAAACATAAAGCGACTTTACAATGCTTTACAAGAAACTAAATAATCTTGGCAAAGATTGGCCTGAGAAATGAGTTTCAGGTTGTAGGTTTTGAGTCAAGACAAAGACATAAGGGAAGCTGTTTTTGATCACAGCTACATTTATGTTTTTACGTTGTGCGTAGGCCCAAGGGAAGTGGGGAAAAAAGTTGCTACTGTTTCAGCCAGCCAGAAATGGAAAACAGCTAGTCAGTGAGACTTTGGAGCATGTTTGCAGGTTGTCAAATCTAACTTGGTTTCTCGGTAAACAGGTTATTTTCCAGATTGAAGTGTCCAAGTTCCTTACTTGACCTGCAGAAAATCACAGGGGATGGTTATTGGTTCCCTGAAACCGGGATTTTCAAAATTGCATTATGCATATGAATGATTTCAATTATAATCTCCAATAAAACATGGTTGCAGAATATTTATGCCATTAGTATAACAGTATTATGCCTTGTCGTGAGATTGATAACTGCAGAGATTTTGATTTAAGATGTATGTTGGCCCCCACTAACCCACAGACTAGGGTTTGACATTGCCATTTTGGGTAACCACGCCAACCGTTTTAGATGTGCTGCCTCAAAGGTGATTCTTGTTTGTGCTAATAGTTAATAATAACCTGTAGTATTTACATTAATGAGACACCAAACCAATATTGAGAGCACTTATCATGATAATTTAAGCCCTAACAGTTGATAGCAACTCAAGTCACCCACCAGCGTGCCTGGAATGGTAGAGCATAGGGAGTATTGTTTACATGTTAAAACCTAAACACTTGAGTTAGGAACTTTGGAACATTTTGGAAAATCCATACTCTTGACAGGGGTGATGTGATTTGGCCTGTTTGTATCAATGCCTGACTCAACTGGATTCAAGACAGTATAACTTACCTTTTACTTTTAGATGTGAAAAAGTTCATGTACTTTCCTAAGTTTATTTGTAACCCTTCAAAAACGGCATTATTTCATGTTGTCATTATTTGTGATTTAATTAAGAGACCTTCAACCAAATTTTAAAGTGATAACCATTGGTAGCCATTACATTGTTGCAGCTTGAAACAATGGGAGAAATTGCAGAATTGTTTTGCCACCAAACATTAGTAAAATCCCCAGTTTGAATGCGTGCATGTAGATTTTAAGAGCAACTTTGAAACTTCACCTCCACACGCTAAATTTAATTGTTCTGAAACTATCGTGTGCATGTACATGATAATGATAACATCAGGTACATGTCATAATGTTACACAAGGGCAGTTTAGGATAATTTGAAATCTTTGTAATGTGTGTGGAGGTATTTCTACAAGTCATACTACTAAAGAAACCTAAGTTTGGAGTTGAATCGTCGCCAGTTTAAAATGGCAGAAAATAAGCAGTTATTTTTGTTGTCTCCCAAAAAGGAGTTTTTTATCCCTCAGTTTGTTGTTGCTTGCAGCTAACCTAAATGGTTATCTTCAGTTTCTAGAATATGTAATGATAGACCAGTAGCGACAATAAACTTGACAAAATTAATGACATTTGAAGATATCATCAGCAAGGGGGCATATGTTTATACAGGCAGTGAAACATTCTTGCTAAAATACATTTGATAGAGGAAAAACATAGACCTAGACCTACACAACAGATTCGATTGCAATCTCTGTGGTATGACGTAATTGTTTCTGGGTATACAATTTTGCAAGCCACCTTAACTTGTATCCGGTTTTTGTTTTTCGGGCACAAACTTGTTTTCCTGGTTCACCAAAACATGCCCCAGGAGTTGAGCATTCAGACAATATAAAACATAAAGCGACTTTACAATGCTTTACAAGAAACTAAATAATCTTGGCAAAGATTGGCGCGAGAAATGAGTTTCAGGTTGTAGGTTTTGAGTCAAGACAAAGACATAAGGGAAGCTGTTTTTGATCACAGCTACATTTATGTTTTTACGTTGTGCGTAGGCCCAAGGGAAGTGGGAAAAAAATTTGCTACTGTTTCAGCCAGCCAGAATTTGAAAACAGCTAGTCAGTGAGACTTTGGAGCATGTTTGCAGGTTGTCAAATCTAACTTGGTTTCTCGGTAAACAGGTTATTTTCCAGATTGAAGTGTCCAAGTTCCTTACTTGACCTGCAGAAAATCACGGGGGATAGTTATTGGTTCCCTGAAACTGGGATTTTCAAAATTGAA